TTAGCTCAGACAACAGAACTTCTATAACATTGTGAATTACAACTATCAGTTATAACTTTATAAATTTTGCAGGGATTATGTATCCACCTGATCGTGGACGAAGCGGCCTTATAGAGGTCGTGGGGGACGAGGAATAAATCTTGTTATACAACATGGAAATAAAAAGCTTATAGCTACTGATTTTTCAAAATCCCAAGAGGAATCCTCTTCATCAAATGCTAAATTGGTTCAAATAATGGACTTTATTCAGCATGATTCTGTATTATATAAGCAGATTATGGATCAAATCCAAAAACAGCAAGGTGATACCTTTGCTGCCAATGTAAGTAAAAGTGATCAGGATGATATCAGGTCATATGAAAAAGGATCAACAAAAGAAGTAATATTTCTTCTTGAAAACACTGATATTCAGTGGAAAGATGATCCATGGATAATATTTCGAAGATATCTATCCGAAAAGGTGATGATACCGGGTGAGTCATACAAACCCCGAAATTATTATGAGAATATTCTCAGACAGACATGTGAAATAACACATTTTCTGTCTAATCAGACTACTACTGAAGTTTATAACTTTTCAAACATTGTTATTAAAAAAATCCTATCTTCTGAAAAATGGGGAATTTCAACCCTTTCTGAAAGGGAAGTACGTAATAACTCTACTTCTCCTCCTTTGAAATTTAATTACTGGGATTATATCCAAAGTTTTTATAAAACTTTTTACTATGAAAACCCTCGGAAAAAGCAGACTTGGTTCATTAAAATATGTTCCAATGTATATTCCTCACCTATACCTAATTAGTTTATTCAATGGTGGGCTTTAAAGTTATATTATCAGTGGTTAAAATTTTTCCCTATCATTGATAAACTTCAACACAGTCATATCTGTGCCACTGGAAAAATCATTTTTGTTATACTTTTTTATTCAATTCTCAATCCCATGGATTTATAAATGGGTTCCAGAATTCGGATTTAATGAGTTCCAAATTCCATGTCTTTATAAGATATATTACACCAAATTCTGGGACAAATTGAGAAAAATAAATCCCAATACTAAAAAATTAGAAGGCCAAGATTTGCTGGATGAAATAACCCAGAAAATAGAAGAATATACCCAGAAAAAAGGACAGCTCAAAGAAAATCAAGATGAGGAAAGTCCGTTCAAGCACATTACAAAAAGAATTCAGCTTCAGCAAGGTGCGATAAACAAGGATGAAATAATATCAGCTTACATAAAGAAAGTCAAAGCAGATTTGATGAGAAATCTAAAAAATCTTGAGAACGATAATGTCTCAGAAAAATCAGATGTTTCAATGAAAAGTATTACTTCAAATGAAGAAAATTCATTTGTAATATTAGCCGGAGAATCTCAGGCACCAGACAATGATGACGACCATGATGAATTTATCAACAATCTGTTACATCAGATCCAAGAGACAGCACAAGCAGGAAAAGGAAAAGAAAAACTGTGAAAAGACAGAAGCATGAATCTCTTTTTGAAAATTAAGGCATATGGACCCCACTTGAGTCATATCTGAGAAAAACATTCACAATAAGTGAATGGATTTCAAATCCATTTGTAAAATAGAATTTATAATTTTTGGAAATCTGGGGCCTTTAAATAGAGATTGTTAGTTTAGTTAGGGAGGCACCGATTTTCAGAAATCTCTTCCTTTCTCTTCTCAGTGTAAAATATTTTCAAAGTTTTAGAAGCTTGGAATAAAAAGAGTTCAGCTCTCCTGATTCCTGTAAGTATTTCTTCTTACTTGCTTTTGCTCGTAATAATAGGCTAATAAGCCTGGTGGTTGGGATAACATGATGTTATTACAAGGATTATCATAGTTATGATCCTGATGAAGGAAGGATAGTTAACTAGTTATGCACGATCTTGCCATGGGTAAGCGTGATTCTGTGTGGCCATGATTTTTATGAGTAGGGTTAGCCCTGTTTAAAGCCGTGTGAAAGACGTGTTAAGGGCGTTGATCCCAGTTTGCTCATATCTGTTCATGTTGACCGACTAAATCACTCTGTAATATTCCCTCTCTGGCTTGAAAACTTAACTGGTTTCTTGTCCCTTTCCTGAGACAAACTTCTACTTATTATTAAGAGTCTTTTACGCTAAAAAAAACTAAAATTTAATATTATAATCATTTATTTTTCTTTAATTAATTAATGGTGCATCATAGATTCATACATCAAGATTCAAGGAAGTCAGAACACCGGGAGCGTAAAGCGTAATATATCAAAAAAGAAGTTAGAACACGTTCTTGCTCAGCTCAATTATGGTAACTAAATTGATGTCTCTTGTCGCAGGATTTTCATTAGTAACTGAGGTTTCTTCATTCATTTGGACTTTTGTGTTGTTGTTAATCCATCCATCCATCCCCGGTCTTATTCCTTAGGCGCAAATTTTGGAATTAAAACTTACAATTTAGCTATGTCAATCTCCTTTATCGTGGAGACTGGAGAGACGGGAAAAAATTTGTGCAACCTCACCTGAAAATTATCTAGTCTAATATTTGAATGCTAAATTGTACATTATACTCCAGAATGAAACATAACAATCAGTCAATCTATTGAATAGCTGATTGTAGTACTTAATCTTCTATTTGCCATCTCACATCGGCCAAAGCGTCACAAAAATCTTTTCGAGTCCCGTGTATACTCATTCTTCCCAGAAAAAATGATCGCTACAAGAAGTATTTAGAATGAATGATTGATAATTGCTCAACTCGTTGATATAAGCAACATTCAAATACCACATTCGACTTCTATATACCACCTGAAAAGTCGAAAAAACTCTTGAGAAAGTCAAAGAAAGGCCTTCTTCCGACGCGAAGACTTCCAAAAATTCCGAGCCTAATCTTTTCAAAAAAATATGTACAGTTCTTTTGTGTTTCCGAGCCAAAGTTTTAGCACAAGAAAGTCGAAGTATATACTTTATTCGATACAAACTCTTTTTTTTTGTAAGACCCGCTATAATGATGAGAAAGATTTCTGTAATATATACCCAAACCGATTAATCATATCAGAATCCGATAAATCAGTCCAAGCCGCCTTACTAATTGGATGTCCTAATGGGTTACAAAATTTAGCGTTAGACAATGATGGAATAAGAGGAATAATTGGAACAATAACAAAGTATTGGACCATTTCTCTCGAAGAAATGAGTATCTAGCAATTCCGGAGACTCCCGCGTCTATCTGGAATCATTTCTTAGCCAAAAAATGTATCACAAAATTGAGAACCCCTTTAAAAGATTAAGACTGACATACCAAAACTTGACAACAGAAATTGAAAAGCTGAAGAGCAATGTTGTTGTTCATTGTACAAGAAGAAGTGGAGGATTCATGGCCCTCTGAAAATTGTTGAACTTAAAGTCACTTACAAAGGTGGCACATGAGAAACTACAGAGCAAAGCCTTTGATCGAAAAGGGAATTCAACATTGACACCAGAAAGAAAGCGGATTTTGAGTCGTATACAAAACGGAGAGAATAGTCTTCTTCTGGTTATCTCCATTTCTACCATAAATGAATGATGATGACTTAAATTTGGAGCTTGATCAACAGAACCTGTAAATACTAACAAGTGTTAACTTTTTATCTATGAATGGAGGGATTGAATCACATTAAAGATTCAGCTATAAAGTAAGAACTACACAATAATTGTAAAGGGAAATTAACTTGATCATGCAACCAAAAATTTTTAGTTGTCAAGATGTAAGAACTACGACTGATCCTTAATCGTTTCAAGTGTCGAAACGGGTTCTAGACAAGAAGGGATTAATTAATTTTGCAGTCGGATTGTTTGGCGGGGTTGAGATCCAACTTTTGGGGATATGGGGAATTTGCAACACCACCATTAGCGCGCGGTGAAACCTTGGTTACTTCATGATGTGATTCGCGGAGTGTAATTGTACCAAACTAGGCTTGGGCCCTCCTAAAAAGATAATTATAGTACAGACTACAAGACTCAATAACGTACATTTGGCCATTAATCTTTCTATCATTGCTTTTCTCAAAGTAATTTTGGTTGTTTTATGTCTGAATGCAAGAAGAGTTGACCATAAATCTACCCATGGAAAGAAAGAAAATACTATGACTTTTAGTATAAAAAATCAGTGTTATACTAATAAAAATAAAAATTTATACTGAAGAATCATTTCGGCCTTTCTCCCAAAATCAAAAGAGCTAAATGAAAGAATTCAGAATTTCAGATTGACAGATTATACCAAAAAGAAAAATACAAAAAAAAAAAAAAAAACAGATTGACTAAGGAATCCAGAACTTAAGGACCCACAAATTTAATGGTACGAGACAGTACAACGGATTAGTACTTGATAAAGAATTATTAAAAGGAAGCTTCTTTGCTTTTCACATCAAAAGGTTTTCAATTAGAGCTCCCCCTGAGCAAATCACGGCGCCCAATAAAGACCGACCACTACCATCTTTCTTCAAAGTTTGCAACCTATTTGACTCATCAAACACATGAACAGACTGAACAAAAAAAAAAAAAACATTGTTTGTTAGGTTTTTTTTATGGTATTTTCAAAATATTTAAATAATAATTGTCCTATCCCAACATATTTTTTATATTTTTAATACACATTTTTACATCCTCAATTCAAAAAATACCTAGTATCACTACTTTGTAGTATAAGCGTGATATGTGTCAGTTAGGACATCTGAAAATATGAAAAGGGAATTGCACAAGTTTTCCAACCAAAAACATTTTTCAAAAAGTTTTTGAGACAATCACACACATTTCCCGCCACATTTTGTGGCCATACCTATCAACATGTTTCTCATCAATTTTCAATTTATCATCACTTCTATAACTTATCCTCCCATTTTAATATGCTTTCTCTAGTATCCTGTGCCTTTTTCTATTTAACTTTAGTAGTGTATTCTAGTGCATTTCTGCTAGTATTAGAATTTCCATGTACCCTCTTCATTGATTCACTCCCATTTATTTTGATAGATCTAACGAGCTCATAGACATGGCTTCCTTCTTCCACTTCTGCATTTTGTTCACCTTCCTGACTTACCATTGTGTTTCTTCAACCTCTATTGTGCCTCATCTTGATGGTAAAGAACCCAATATTTGATGCACATTTCATATAGCTTCAAGTCTTTTTAGTAAATTTTCTTACATGTTGCTTTTTACACTTCTTTGTTGCAGGGCTACTAGAAAATGGCAACTTTGAGGAAGCGCCAAAGGCCTCAAACCTTAAAAAAACAGTGATCATAGGAAAATACTCCTTGCCCAAATGGGAGATTCAGGGATTGGTTGAATATGTCTCAGGAGGGCCACAACCTGGTGGTTTCTTCCTCGCCATCCCCCGCGGCGCACACGCGGCGAGGCTCGGAAACGAGGCTGCAATTTCTCAGCATGTGAAAGGGTTGAAGCCCGGATCGATCTATTCCCTCACATTTGGAGCCACAAGGACTTGTGCTCAGGATGAGAAGTTGAGGGTGTCAGTCCATGGCTTCTCAACTGAGCTTCCTATTCAGACATTGTACAGTTCTGATGGAGGTGATACTTATGCCTGGGCTTTTAAGGCGCTTTCTGATGTTGTTAAGGTTACTTTCCACAATCCTGGGATTCAGGAAGATCCCACTTGTGGTCCTCTCATTGATTCTGTTGCTATCAAGGAGATTCTCCCCCTAAACTACGCTAGAGGTGTTGTACTTCAACTCTGTCCTGTTTTTTTTTTTTTTTGAATAGTTTTTCTTTCACTTCATTCTTTGATTCATTTTCGTTCAATTCTTAAGACTACTCCAAATCAATTGCAGTCATATAGATATTTGGTCCCTGTGAAAGTGCACTAGTATAGTACATTCTGTTCTAGTTATACATTGTGCAAAAATCATTCTAACATTGTCTCTCCATTTGCTTTGATCATTTATGTTGAAAAACGTTTCAAATGGACATGTTACAATATTGTTCGTCATGGATTTTCCGGTCAATCAATCAAAAATCAGGTCCAGACTCAAACACAAGACCTGATTGTTCTTAATGAGAACAATCTTTTTCAATGAGATAGAGTCAGGATGATGTTTCCAATTGCTATTAGATCAAGGGTTACAAGTTTCAGTGTAAATTCACCATTTAGTAGAGCTTGATAATCTATAAATGGAGAGAAAATACTATTGGTTGCCAACTACTTTTCTGAAAGTTTTTGGTAAACCTTTGTTGTTTCAGGTAACTTGGTAAAAAATGGTGATTTTGAGATTGGCCCTCATGTATTCAAGAACTTCTCAACTGGGGTTCTCCTCCTTCCAAAAGGGAGAGACTTGTACTCACCCCTCCCTGGATGGATCGTCGAATCCATCAAACCTGTTAAATACCTCGATTCGAAGCATTTTTCTGTTCCCCAAGGACTTGCAGCGGTCGAGCTGGTTGGAGGAAGAGAAACCGCAATTGCACAAGTCATAAGGACTGTACCGAACAAATTTTATGGTCTTTCATTCACTGTTGGCGACGCGAGAAATGGCTGCCACGGATCGATGATGGTTGAAGCATTTGCAGCGAAGCAAAAATTACAGGTTCCGTTTACATCAACTGGAAAAGGTGGATTCAAGAGAGCAAGCCTCAGGTTCCAAGCTATTTATAACAGAACCAGGATCAGTTTCTTCAGCCCTTTCTACCATACGAAAGTTGATGATTATGGTCATTTCTGTGGACCTGTTTTGGATGATGTTAGAGTTGTTCCTCTCAAATAGTCTCAGCTTGCTAGCTTAAAGGTAACCGATCAAGAAATGATCACAAACCAATCTAGGTTTTATTTTTGTTTGTTTCTTTCCCAGTAGACCTTGTTAGTTTGTTTGTTTATTTTGAGCCTGAAAACTTAATTGTAATCCAGATATCTTACTTTGACGGGTAGAAGTAAGAATTATAGATACCCCTGGCCTTCTTCTTTTGTCATCTTTTCATGAAGAGTTTTTGACAGTTTTAGTCGTCCTTTTGAGGTTCCATCATTTTGATTCCGAAGATTTAACTCCATCTGTCCAAAAATATTTTTAGTACAATAAACAGGACAATTGTTATGACGGAGGGATTAATTTGTAACAGATCTATTAGTGACTATTTTGATTCAGAACAGCAGTTTTTGAAGGCCTAGTTACCATTCACAATTCTGGGGTGAGGCTTCAAGTTTTGTTTAGGATCATTGGATCAGTAAAAACTGCACGGCCTCAGGTTCTTTAACAGCTATATGAAGTCGTTTATCCTACTGTTCTCAACTCAAAGCGAAAAAAAAAAATACGCCCTCCGTCACAAAATTATTGTCCAGTTTGGTTGATCAAGCAGAGTCATAAGCTAAGCCTCTTCTAAATAAGCTGCCATTTTTTGAAATGTTCGTTTCAAACATGTTGGAAGCACATTTCAACTGTACGGGTTTGGTACTTCAGAGATCAATGAATATATAAAGGAAGCCTTTTAGAAACCTGAGATTTCGAGAGCGCACTCAGGAAACCCACAGATTGGTGTTCTCAGTATATCGTTGCTTCATCATAGTTTAAAACCACCACTTGCCTCAAATTAATCCAAATTCCAGTCTGACTAGATTCGGTGATCTCATGATATGCTAGAAGATGCCCAGATTTCTTAGTAAGTTTGACTTTTGAGACAATGTAACACATCTCCCGCCACATCTTCTGGCATTATAACATGTTTCTCATATCTGTTTCCAATCAGTATAGCTTATCCACCGTTTTTTTTATATTCTGCTGCTCTGATCTGTAATGTAGTCCGCTTATCTATTTAAACAGTAGTAATGTACTAGTACATCATTGTACCTTCATTGATTCAATCTCACGTTTGATTGATCAATAAGCTCATGAAAATGGCTTCCTCCTTTTTCCCTCTCTGCATTTCATTCATCTTTCTTGCTTATCATTGTGTTTCTTCAACCCCTGTACCGCACTTTCGTGATGGTAAGTCTCCAGTGTTTGATTGATGCGTATTTCCTTCCATCCCAAGGTTATCTATATTAGAGATTTCGTGTAACATGTTAATTGGTCCATTTTTGTTGTAGGGATGCTAGAAAATGGCGACTTTGAGCTTGGACCAAAGTCGTCCAACCTTAACAAAACAGTGATCATAGGAAAATACTCCTTGCCCAAATGGGAGATTCATGGTTTGGTGGAATACGTCTCAGGAGGGCCTCAACCCCGCGGTTTCTACTTCGCGATCCCACGTGGCGCCCACGCGGCCAGACTAGGGAATGAGGCTACCATTTCTCAGTATGTGAGAGGATTGAAACCGGGAACGATCTACGCCCTCACGTTTGGAGCCACCAGGACCTGCGCGCAGGATGAAAGGTTGACGGTATCTGTTCCCGGTTTGTCGAGTGAGCTTCCGATTCAGACATTGTACAGCAGCGATGGAGGTGATACTTATGCTTGGGCTTTCAATGCAACTTCTGAAGTGGTTAAGGTCAGTTTCCATAATCCTGGTATTCAAGAAGATCCAACTTGTGGACCTCTCATTGATGCTGTTGCAATCAAGGAACAGCTGCCTCTAAAGTACAACAAGGGTAATAATTCCACTCTGATACCTTTGCAATATTTTCTGATTATACGTCTTTCTCTGTCTCAAAAAATAGTTATATTCGTTGAACTAAACGCACGCAGACTATTTTCCTAAGATGGGAGAAATTTTAAACAGTTTCTTATGTTTTGGAATCAGTTTCAATCAGATCTTAAATTTTACATATAATTCCTGACTTCCCTTGATTATTTACAACCATTTGGAACAGTAAGCCAGGAGACCATCCCTTCAATATTCAAACAACTAGAAATTTTTCTCACAAATCAGCATGTAAATTTTTGATAACTAAATTATACTTGGGAGTACAAATTGCATGCAACAATACATGTTTAAGATTAAATTACTGTTAGCCGTCTCTGATCTTTTGCAGCATATGCTAAAAGTATGAATAAATCTGCAGGAAGCTTAGTGAAGAATGGTGACTTTGAAATTGGACCTCATCTATTCAAGAACTTCTCAACCGGAGTTCTTCTCCCTCCGAAAAATGAAGACTTGTACTCCCCCCTGCCTGGATGGATTGTGGAATCTCTCAAACCGGTCAAATACATCGATTCAAAGCACTTTTATGTGCCCCAAGGACTTGCAGCCATTGAGTTAATGGGAGGAAGAGAAACCGCAATTGCACAGATCATAAGAACAGTGACAAACAGATTCTATATTCTCTCCTTCGCGGTGGGCGATGCGAGAAATGGTTGTCATGGATCGATGATGGTTGAAGCATTCGCAGCGAGGCAAACTGTTAAGGTTCCATTTATCTCAACTGGAAAAGGTGGATATACGAGAGCAAGCCTCAAGTTCCAAGCTATTTCTAACCGGACAAGGATCACTTTCTTCAGCCCTTTCTACCATACAACAGTTGAAGATTATGGTCATTTCTGCGGCCCTGTTTTGGATGATGTTAGAGTTGTTCCTCTAAAATAGTTTTGGCTGTACTGCATAGCTAAATGGCTATCAAGATCTCAGAAAAACCTCTTGCTTCTTCCATAGGCTTTCTTTCTGTTTAATTTCGCCAGCAAATTCAAATAACTTTGTAATACCAAGTTTTCTCATTATGTTAGATGGAAGGCTTGCTGTTGAGTTATAGCAGGTAAACAGGGGAATCGGCATTTCTTTAATTACCAAACTTTAAAGTTTAAACTCTCAATCTCTCATATGGGCTTTGGCAAATAAGGGCACAATCAAGAGAACCTCCCAATGAAACAGAGTAATGAAACCCAAGAAAACAGAGCAATGATCGACCACCACCACAACACAGACCTAATCTTGTCAAAATATTGCCAGATTGTAATTTGTTTCATGTAGGGATTATTATTGATGATGCAATTTATTACATCTCAATCATTTTGGGGGGTTCTGATACTCAGATTTTTAAGTTATTTAATAAAACACTACCTCCATTTTTTTTTGTACCCTAAATCTGTGAGTGAAAAGCATAAACTGGATTTTGTTCCCATCAGTTCATTTGCTGAAAGTTATAATATAAATTTCATCAATGCACCGAAATCACGGTACCCTGATTTGACAAAATATTATCAGCTGATCCAGAAAATTTTGTTCCGGGATATTCTGATCAAAACTCAAAAGTGGTTCATATATATAGACCTCCATCACCATCAATACATTAATTTGCTGACCAGCTTGATCAACTTTTCCCTATTGCAATTAATCACAGGATATCAGAAACACACTTGGGAAAGGAAAAATGTACTAAAGCTTACTAGACCAGCTTCAAAGATTCACAAAGGAGCCTCAGCAAGTCTGAAGAGCAAAAGCTGATTTTTGTTATACGAGCAGATTAACACCAATATTCCCATTGACAAAAGGAAGATGGCTGCCTGAATTTCCACTCGATATTCAATCCAAATCAATCAAAACAAAAAACCCAGAAAAATCTTACATCAAAACAAAAGCAAACTAGCAGCAAAAGAGTACACGTTCAATAAAACAAAAACCCAGAAGATGCACATCGAAAGAGAATCAATTTAACAAGAAACAAGAGGGCTCAGAGGGTTGCTTTGTGTGCTCAAAGAAGAACCCATAAAGGATCTTCTCATACAAGAGGTGTCAGAAATTTAAAGCATTATTCATCTTTGCCCCCCAATATTGGCCAAAACCAAATTAAAAGTAGAAATCAAACAACAACCACAACGAGAAGAAAGTATAATCAGAAGAGAGCCGGGCTGCGGCTACTCCGCCACTAGGGTTTCGGCAGAAACAGGTGACTTGCTTCCCCCTGATGTACCCAGTTATATATAGGAGTAATTGATATAGAGGGAGTACTTGTAGCCCAAATTGAAGGCCCACTTACATCTATATTTTAGCCCAAATTATGTATGTTTATTTACTCCCTCCGTCCCATAATTATTCTCCACTTTGCCCAAAAAATTTTGTCCCAAAATTATTGTCCAATTTGACTTTTTATGGATCAAGTTACACATTTGTCCTTAGTAAAAAATATTATCCATAAAATCTTAGTGGTTAAACAATTACTTATGTAGGGGTATATCCGGTTATTTAAGGTAAAATATAGTTAAGTTTGACCAAAAATAAAATCTTCTATTTTAGTAAAACTGGACAATAATTATGGGACGGAAGGAGTATTTATTTATTGTCGGTGGAAGTAGCCTAAAAATGAGCTTTTTTCCCCGCTATAAATTGTCCGTGATTTGTCTATTTAAATTATTTAAATTCACAGTTCATCAACCGAAATTAATGAGATTAAAGTACTACTCCTTCTTTCCCAGAAAAATACTTACTCCATCCCCAAAAAGAATAGTCCACATTAAGTTTCCAAATTTGTACAAAATTAGTTCAAATTTCAAAACTCAATGTGAACTTTTTTTGGGGATAGAGGTAGTAGTCCACATTTATTTTTGAAATCTATATACTATATTAAGGCAAAAACCAGAGAGAGAAAATTAAAGGTCCGTTTTAATCATCAAATCAAAGACTGAGTCTCTATCCAGTATACTCGGGTCACCATACTCCCCCTCCTATTTTTACATTACTAGTCCTTAGTATACTTTTTTCACTTTTCTAAAACATCCTATAATTTACAGGTTTAGTCCTTTGATTTTTTTCTCTCTCCTTTAAAAAACATCTCTAATCTTTAAACGATCATATCTCATGATCCGTAAAAAAATTAGAGAACGTGTTATACATGAATTTTATTGTACTCGTCGAGATCTATCCAACAAGATCCATGTCGAATATTTTTTTCGAGTTTAAGAATGAATAAATTTCGATGGGCAGAATAAGATGGATATCTAGTTTAGAAAGATGGATAATAAGTTTAGTTTAGATTAAGATTCTTGTATTGCATATATCTCTTGATCCGTAAAGAATTAGAATACGAATTATATATGAAATTTATAGTGCTCGACGAAATCTATCCGATAAGATCCATGTTGAATATTTTTTTTGAACTTTAAATGTATTTAAATTTTATGGGCACAAATGAAGAAATGTGTTTTCCGTTTTTCTTTGAAAAATGGTTACCCGTTGTGTTCCTACTGATTATCCATTCTGTTTGTACTTATTATCCAATCATATTTTTGACATTCACTCTTCAAAAAAAAAAAAGAAAGAAAGAAAAAATGATTGGATAAGCATTGCAAACAATTTGGATAATCAATAGAAAATAATTGGATAATCAGTGCAACACGTTGGATAATCAGTACAAAAAAGTTTGACAATCATTTTCATAAAAGAGCAAGGAAAAAAAAATACTGGATAACCACAATAATGAAGTTGGAGAATCAATATGAACACATTGGATATCCAGTTTAAGAAGATGGATAACCAACTTATTTTACATTCATATTGTTGTGTTCCTTATATCTTTTGATCCGTAAAGAATTATAATACGAATTATATATAAAATTTATAGTGCTTGACGAGATCTATCCGATAAGATCAATGTTGAATATTTCTTTTGAACTTTAAATGCATTTAAATCTTAGGGGCAGAAATGAATAAACTGAAAAATGATTATCCGTTGTGTTCATACTGATTATCCAACCGGTTTGGACTAATTACCTATTTTGTTTTGTCCAATCATATTTTTTGCATTCACTTTTCAAGAAAGAAAAAAAGAAAAAAGAAGATGGATAACCAACTTAGTTTAGATTGGATAAACCAAATGGATGGATATCCAGTACAAACGAAATGGATATCCAGTACAAACAAGTGTGATATCCATTACAAACAAGTTTGATAGGCATACAAACTAAATGGGTGGATATTCAGTACAAACAAGTTGGATAACCAGTTCAAACTGGTTGGATAATCAGCATAAACACAATGGATAACCAATTTAAAATAACTTGGTTATCCATCTTGTAAAACTGGATATCCACCTTCATTCTGCCCATCAGAATTTAGTCATTTTTAAACTCGAAAAAAATATTCGACATGGATCTTGTTGGATAGATCTTGATGAATACAATAAAATTCATGTATAAAACGTTTTCTAATTCTTCACGGATTGAGAGATATGATCGTTTGAATATTAGAGATGTTTTTTGGGATGAGAGAGAAAAAAGTGGTAGGGACTAAACTTATAAATAATAGGAAGATTATTAGAAAAAGTAAAAAAAGTATAATAAAAACTAGTAGTGCAAAAAATAGGAGGGGGAGTATGGTGCCCCCGGGTGCACCCAATAAATTGCCTCAAAGACTAATTTCAGTGGTTACGATACTATCGAATAACAAAAACATCCACGATCAAATCCAACTTGATCCACAATCTCAAGTTTCGACTTGAATCACGATCTCACTCCTAATTTAAAATCAGAATCCATAATCCATCAAAGAGCTTTTTGGCTAGTTGGAGATTGGAGAATACAATGATGATCATACTTTTGCCGAGTAATTACAACAGTCAAATGCTACGGCAGTGGCGGTGGTATTTGACGGCGGTGGTGTTCAACTCAAAGATCGTTCTCCATTCTTTTCTCTCTTTTTTTTCTTTTCTCGGCACCTGCATAGTCGCCGGCAACACAATTTTTGAACGCATCGACAAGAATAATGGCCCAGCTACTGGGCTTCTCCGCCGATGGAAAATATCCATGAATCTGCATCATCAAGTATTAATCCGGTACGTTATCATGCTAGATTCTGTTTGATCTTTTCCCCAATTGAAATCAGTTCAGTAACATGTTCCTTTACCTATAGTATCAATTCAAATAATCATGATGGTTCCCCCTTACTTCATCCTGGGAGATTGCCAAGGTCTCATGAAAGGTATGTCGCGTGGTTGGCTAATTTGGGATCTACAGCTGTCAGATTTGACATTAGGGAAATCGGAGATCTACAGCAAACCTTCCATTAGCGGATCCTCGAAAGTCAATGACGTACTTCCCGTCTGCAATTGGGCTTCAGCTTCCCGTCAGTTCTTCAACTGAAAGGTGTACATTAACTTTCATTTTTCTAATTTCCTTTTCATCCCATCACTAATGTTCTGGTATGCTAGTTCAACCTCATTGGAAAAAATGGTTCAAGAATAGCATACAACATGTAGAGAAAATTGAGTATGATATTTGACTGTTATGCTAAATTTTATCCCGAAAGTTTTTTAATTCCAAATTCTCTATGAACTATCTTTAATAATATTGTATCAAAAGGTTTTTGTGGTAGATTTCAATGGGTTGGAAAAAGTTGATTTTGTTTTGCTTTGGGACAAAGCCACTTATATATGAACGTAAATGCCCACTTTGAAGTAAGAACTCTTCTCTGAAACGAATGCTTGATTTGCAAATTACCACATATTATATTCCTTCTATTACATAGAGTAGTAATCTATTTATGGTCCTGTGATGGCCAACAAGGGCACTAATTACTGGATCTGCAGTAGATCAGATAAATGAAGTGGCAGGGTGAACCATCTGAGGATACCCTGATTGTAGTGCTTCAATTTGTTTGGAAGGCATCATAAAACATACTTCAATCTTCAAAGCCAAAACTGTTTGTAATGGCCATACGAGATGGTTTCATGGGTGTTAAACAACTACAGAAGCAGCTGAAAAATATTGCTATCAAAACCAAACTTACTTGATTGAAGGAGCTATTGAACTTGAAATAAAGGAAATTAAGGGGAAAATATGAAAGAAAAAAGCAGATTATGTAGGAAATTGAGATTGTTGAACCCTAATCATTTAATGTATTATTGTGTCCATTATATACAAATTTTGCAGGTAATTGCGCTTATGTATTTCTATGTTAATTATCTTCTTGGTGGGTTTCTTTAAGCATTCAAAGAAAGTGTTCTATAATTATGCATATTATGCAATGGTGTTTCAACATTTTTCATACAGGTTACAAATTCTTTGTCAAGACTTTATATTACTGTTATTTTGGGTTTGCCTACTTATTTTCCCTGTTGATGTTGGAACCTTCTTATGAAAGAAAGTTTGTTGCTGGAAACAGCACATAACTTCAAAAAGAGGAAGTTGAAATCAATTAGCAGCAATGAGGAGTTGAACTTGAACGTCGATCACTTCTGTTTTGATGTTGATGGTTGAAAAAACATGGAGTCATTAGTCCACATTTTGATGTTGCTTCCAACAAATAGAACGGTTAACTAAAATGGTGACAATAGTTATCCAAAAACACAATAATGCTAATCAGCCTAGATCGTTCTATCTTTAGATTAAGCTTTGTTTATGCAGATAATTTGACCATTATATACCCAAGTGATTTTTGGAATTAACTTTCAGTGGCTTAATTCAATGCTTTAAAGATATGTTATGTTATAGCCTCATGTTATATAACTCTCTGAAAAAAAAATAAATAGCAACCTAATAAAAAATTTAAAAAATGAAAAAAAAAATGACAGACTGTCATGCATGACAAACTTGAGCATAACATTAACCAAAATGGAATTCAAAAGGTTGTAAGCATCTTTAATAATCTTCTATATAGCTGATAAAGAATCTGAAGAGCAAGAGAACTTACAATCATCTCAGGCAATGGAAGCTTTATTTTTTGTAAGTATAATTCCACAATTGTAAGCTCTGCGGAAATCAACCTGATGAAAGGAATTTAGAAAAGAAGTATATTAAGCATACATTAACAATTTCTAGGAAATAGACAAAACAAACATCTCAGTACTACAATGGAGATGCAATGAACATATAAGTACAAGAACTCCTTTATTGAAAATGACTCATATGTTGAAATTTGGAGATAATCTTTCTACTTATATTGCCTGGTTCTTATCAACAAACCTCGAATGAATTTTCTGCTCTTGAGATTCAGGGCATAAACTCCCTTGCATTGCCCGTATTAATTTGACACAGTGTAAAGGCTTCAGTGAAGCTAATTTGTAGAACACATTGCACCGTTATCATCATCAAGGTTGCCTTTAGCCCAGGTACAATGTTCCAGAATCTCCCTCCCATTCCCATCATCAATTTTATTGTTCTTTCAAACTCAAAATGCAGAAAATTAAGCCAAAAAAATGGAGCGAGATTTTGGAACATTCCTAAAAATGATCCGGACCGAGAAATGAACCTACACTATTTCATTCTCCCACATTTGATTGGTTTTTATCCTCGTGTATTTCTTCGGATAAAACGAGGAAAAAGTGAGCTACTCAAAAGTTTGAACGGTGGCTGACTATTTTCTCTTTTATTTTTGTCCAAATTGTCAGTAAAAACCACTCTTGAGTCACTTTAAAATTGTGAAGCATTATTATCAGTGGGTTACAATGATGGGCCTAAGTGTTACTGAATCTTGTCCTAAGTCAAATTAAGTGTCCCACTTAAATTGCCCCATATAATGTTTTATGATAATATTCTAAATTCTTTTTAAAAAAACTAACTACTACTACATACTCCAATAATGAACAGATGCTTTCAAGTGATACATTACATACAATAATACAACAGTATTTTAACCAATTAAAAATATTTATGAAAAATATTTCCATATTAATAATACTCATTTTTGAAAAACTATATGTTATTATTATGAATTATAATTAGTGAGGATTTATACATCATAAGTAATATCTAGCCTATCATATTTCAAATACATCTTAATACATTTTCTATCTCAAAAATAGATTTTATATAAAAAAAATAATAATTCTTCTATCCTAAAAAATAATCTTTAATGAGAATTGTGACTTGTATTAAAAATAGTACAAATTTCTAAATTCAATGTCAACGTAGTGGTATATTATTATTAAAATATTTGGTAAAAAAATTTTTAATTAATTAATTTCTATGGTTTCAGCTCTTGAAGATTTTCAAACTTCATAGTTCAGGTTTGTATAGCAGATAACTAGTCGGGTGTGTTTTTTTTTTTTTTTTTTCTTAGTCTGTTTCTAGAACATTCCGAAATTCGTTCTTTTTTTTTTCTTTTGGAACGCAGATTGGGAATGAATCTTGGGGGGGAATTACCAATTTAACCTCTTAATTTTGCTATAATGAGCATTTGACGTACTTGGTTCTTAGAGCTGCTACGAACGAACTGGAATAAGTATGATTCCATTGACTCTTCCATTCAGAGTTCCGGATTGAGTCATCCTAATGCTAGTCTAGTTTCGGCAACAAGAAAAAAGAAAAAAAAAAAGCAAAATCGATGCCATCCTCATCCGCCGGACCATCACGCTGTCCTCCACCCGACCCGATGGATCAGGAATCATTCCTTGATCACTTCCATGAGACAAAAGGGATGAGTAAGGCAAGATGACAGATTATTACTTTGAGCCATTGAAGGATTCCTTATATATATATATATGTTATTTTTCTGAGTTCTGAATATTTTTACACACACACACACACAGTCTTCGGTACTAAACATATTCCAATTGATCTGCTTAGTATGTTCCTGAAGCCGCAAGGTTGGCTGCCGTTTTCCTCGTGTTGTGAGACCAGAGCCGCTCAAGGTTTTCTTCCCATCTAGTTGAGTGGTAATGGTGATGAAGGGCTTAAAAGGATTTATGTGGTAGAGAATCTCTACTTCAGTCTCTTTCTAGCAACAACGAGGATATCTGATCACCCTCCTGACATCTCTTTCTGGAATGGAAGGAGTACATATTCCAATTGCTCTCAAGAGTTTCTTTGCAAGTTCCCTGTGTGTACTATCCCCATTAAGTAAAAGAAATAAGAAAAGTAAAAAATACTTATGAAACTATTGAAGCCAAAAATTATGATGAGCTGAGCTGAGTCATGCACCTCTTGTATGCGCTCTACTTTACTTAATCAGCTGGCCCTTGTGTCTCCTTATCCAAAGCACATGCTAAAGTTGAACAATCTTGGTAGATGCAAAGTTCAGCAAACCATCTGTTCTTTTAGTTTTGCAGGTGGAATCATTCACAAACTAGACGAATACATCAGAGATTTTATGTTGGTTGAATGTTGAGGCTGGAAAGTTGATACTATGTTTTTTCACAGAAATTTGGGGTGGTAGTAAGTGAAAGTCAACCTGGGGAGTTCTTTTCACTGATACCTTAATTGCCCACGTCGAAATGATGGGTATCTTCGACATTCACAACACAGCACAATGCAGCATGGCTTGGGAATCATGTTTACAACAACTTATCAGCGGGAGGCAGTTTGGTGGTATCAGGTACCATCTTCGGAGTCCGAGAGTAGAAAATCTTGTATTTGGCCCCTGTTCATAAAGAATTTTGTGAAGGAAATAGGAGCAACAGCTGCATAAGCACGTCAATTGCAATAATCTAACCTAATTGCATAGCTAAACCATCAAAATTGCAGATTGATAAAGTTCCGAGTTCCTTTAGTTGCTATGAGAGAGCACAAGAGTATTGGAAAAAGGAAGCCCTGTATCTGTGTGCGTATAATTCCGAACAAAGCATCAGAGTGTATCATCATTCACTCAGCATCCAAAATAAATCTAGCTCTGTTAAGACTTAAACAGCAGAAAGACCCAGCAAATAAGGAGGCATGATGGAGGGAAAAATTCAGAGTTCATGTTCCTCTAAAGATCACAACAAATAAAAATGTAAAATAACAGTCAACTGGCATAAAAAACCAGTCTCCAAGACATTCTAGCAAAGTTAACAGTAATTAGTCAAGCTCGAACATTGTAAAGTCTACACGTCAAACAATGAAGGAGAGATTTCTACCTCAGTATCTGAAGTCTTTCTTCACTGCTGCTGTTATATTCAGTCTGTACTTCCACTTGTTGAGGAAAAAGTGAGAAAAATTGTTCTAGAGCCGAAGTATCCTTGGGCAAAACTTGAAACTGGCAACTCATGCAGCATTTATCTCTAATAACCTCTGCTGACAGCGTTCCGTTCTCCAAATTGCAACTTTTGACATCAGATAATTTGAGAGGAGCATTGCAGATTCCACATAATGACTCTGGCGGAAGAGATTCATTGGGTTTCAAATTGTATTTTTTCTGCCGCCATTGAGTTGCCAATTGTGAATTTAAGTCATCTCCTTCAGGCATTCTATTGAAATGGAAAGGAGTAAGCTTTCCGGCGGTTCTGAAAATTGTGCTTTCCCGAGATGGATTTTCTGCCTGACAGAAAAAAACCTAATCATCATACGGTAGATAAACCTCTATAAATCAATTATATTATAATAATTCCTACTCTGTTTAGCATTATTATCTATCCCTAAGCACTTATGTTTCAATTAAGCGCACTTGTACAAAATTTTTCATTTACCTGCAGTAGTTTTACAAACGAGGCAATCAAGGTATTGATGCCAGAATGGTGACCTTCGAAAGCATCTATGGTCTTCAAGCTGCATAGCCAAGGTAATATTAGTACCATGCTAGTAATTCCATTCAAATAACACCACAATTTAAAGAGCAACATAGGAACAATATGAGTCAGCGAGATTGGATAGGACAGGCGGAAAGGAGAAACTTCTGTTGCACCAAAAGAAAAGAGGAAAAAAAAACCAACCAGACAAACAAAGAGAACACGAAACAAATGGAAAGCCTTGCACGACACAAACCTGTGAAGGTTGCAAAATATGTTTAGCTCCTGAGAAAGGCAATCACGCAAGGGAAGTATCACTGGTATCTTCCACCTTGCATCTACATACTGTATATCTGCAGCCAACGAGTAACCCTGGCCCTGCCGGAGGAAAGAGATTGCATTAATTATGCTTCCTATAAATTTTATTTCCAAAAGCAACAGCTCTCACTTAAAGAAACTCCTTCCTATAACACAACAATATAAAAACACACCTTCACAGTAGCTTCAAGCACATGACAGGCAATCCTGGATGTGCAAGTTCCCAGCACAATTTTACTATATCCATAATCCTGAGCAACCTGCAAAAGAATTAAACATCAACACAATTCCGCTCTCAACAGAAGAGCACAGATACACCCAAAAATATAAACAAAGGCAAACCTTTTGCAAGGAGAGCATTCTCAGATACTTCCGAAGATCTTCTCTCCCAGTAACATCGTGAACAGCATCCATTAGCTCCTTAAATCTATCTCTTCCATCAATGGAATCCAAAGGAAAGATATCTTCCGTGGGAACAATGTGGAGCTTTTTCACTGGAGGAGCTATATTTGAGACAATCAATTTCATATCTTCAATTGCTTTTTCAAATTCAAGTGTAGGTACAGCAAGACTGGAACGTTCGTCAATAAAAACAACCCCAACCCCGAATACAGGTAATGATCTATCTCTACTGGCTTCAAAATTCTTTAGTGCTTTCAGTTGCATCTCATGAACAAACTGCAGTGCAACCCTACATGATCCATAAAGAGTGTCAGAAAAAGGCTTGATAATTTTTAAAAGCATATAGACCCAATATCAAGAATATCAAGCTACTGCAAGCATAACTACACGTAAATAGTTGGAATTTTCCATGATGTTTCCACTTTAGAAATATAGTCTTAACATGTGAAAATCTTTGAAGGAAAAGTTCATCCCTTTCCAGTTAAACCATTCAAGTTTGACCATGATGTCAGAATTTTTCCCATGAAGTACCGAAATTCTGATACAAAGCCAAAAAAAGAAAGTACTGGAGACAGAAAACTGAAAATCTATTGCATCAAAGGATATGCCGGTGACAAAAAATGTAAAAGGGAAGGGTACAACTGAACAAATCATACCTAGAAGAAGTTCCACCAGAGAAAGCAACAAGGACATTGTCAGAAGGTGAAATCAAAGCATTCGAAGAGACTGCAAGCCTAAACTTTCCATAAAGATTGCTCCGGAAACAATTACCACAGAACCGACTGATGTCACTATCTGTGTGGCTATATTCAGTCGAGGTGCTGGCCATTGATTCATTGAGCTTACACTTGACACACAGAACAGAGTTTTCTGTGTGGTTCCTTCCACTATCTGCAGAGACACCATTGAATGGCATCTCATTGGGTTCATTCTGCAATGCTTGGGACGCTTCTTCTCTGTCATCGACAGCGGTGTCTTTGTAGCATCCAGACTGGCAGCAGTTTTGTGAATTGCAAGACATCGTGTTCTGTGCGCTCCAGCACTGTCTAAGTTGCTCCAAAGTCCTAGGCCTTCTTTTCTTCAGTAGTTTGTCAGTTTCTTCTGCTAAAGCTATTCCCCTGTAATGATCATGCCAGAGCCAGCTGATTCAGAAGAGGAATAAACCTGAATAATAAGAAATAATTGCAAGAAAGGACAAATATTTCAGAAGCATCATTCCTACAATGCCTCAAAAATTTGTCCATTGAGATTTTTCTATGAAACTATGTCATTTAAGGACAACCTGTCAAACAAGTACAAGTAACTCTTTTGGATTTATAGAAGTAATAAAAAGAATAAGAGTTTACACGAATACTGTTTGTTGTTGACATATCATGTACGGTGCATCGCTGGTGGTTTTAGGTTCAAACTACTGATAATCTTTAGCATGGTGGAAGTAAGGGACAATAACCAGGTCTCAAAAAGTAAAAGAACGTCGTTGCCGGAAGCTTCTTACTCAGAAGTTGTTCAATAAAAAATGCCAGCCTAAAAAGATCTAATTAGAGAGCATAGAAGGTAAAGAACTTCCCTAGTTCTCCACATGCAGAAACTTAGCACTAAATAAAAACCCAAAAAAGTAGTAAAACGGTTCATCCAGATGATATTTTACAATTGAGCCATGGCAGTGTGTTGGGAAAAGCAGCATTACATGGCTAACAAACTTATATACTCAATGCCATTGATTACCCGCCATCTCAACTATTACTCAAAAACCTTAAATCAAAGAGACAATCCCATCGAGTGCCTAGATCATACCCAAAAGCTAGATAACAAGCTCTACAAATACAAGCACAGAGGCAGATTTGTTCTGTCACCAAATGTTGAGCTGTTGCGATAAAAGCATATAAAACTGCATGATTGATCAATAGCAAAAATTGTCTACACTACAGGCAATATCTTCATGTCGTGAAAATGTTTGATTAAGCATTAATCAGAGCCAATAATAAATAAATAAATAATCACTTTTTCCACAATAACTACAGAAAAAACCCAATTGTCCTCACTCTTCATGATCGAAAATACTGGCCTATCATATCAACAAAAATGACGCTGTGATTTCCTTCTCTTTTATGAATTAATAAACAACCAAAAGAGCAAGCTTTCACTTATTGCGTTCATAGTACAAGTTCTAGAATAGCAATCTTACCATTAGAGGACAGAAAACATTCCCCCGATTGCCTCTTGAGCGGGATTCCGGTAGAAGAAACTCAATATGTGGTAGCGGCGGCGAGAAGCGGCGGAGCAGCACAGCGTTCTGGGTTTTCGCGGAGGTGGGGTTTAGCGGTTTAGAATGTAATAAAAGGGCCAGAATTGTAAAGAAAAGTAAATATCAGGGACCCTGGAAAAATAATTCCAAGAATATTATGGCTTTGCGTTTACTTTTCTCTCTTCGTTGTCTGCAATTGATCGCTTTCCAGTTTCCAGTTCCCCATTGTTACTCCTCCTTTGGCTTTCAATACCGCTCACTTTTGCAAATCAAAGCAAACATTCCTCATTGGGTAAGCCCTAAAAGACTATTAAATGTACTTTTTTGTGAATTTTTGTCTGTTAATGGGTTTCTGAGCATATTGTGATTAGTAGTGGAAGATATATGTTCTTTCTGGGGACATTTTGTAGCATAGTTAAGATGTATCATCTCGTAGAAATCCTAAAAATTACAACTTTTCTTTCTGCTTTTTGGCTATTGTTGGTTTCTCCGTCTACAGTTCTTGTGAACGGATCATTAGTTTTGGATATGTTGAATTGATCTTTATTTTGCGATTTGGTGAGGCTATATGATGTTTGGGACATTGCCCAAGGGCTTTGATTTCTGGCTTTATCCTTTTTAAATGGATTGGAAAGTGAAATAGCTTAGCTTTATATCCCTTCTGATTGCATTCAATCATATTTCATTGGCATTGGTTTATCGGGAGGAGTAAATCATCTAGGAAATGTTAGTCCTGGGGTACTAACTGTTTGTCTATCTGGTAATGCAGACTGTGAATCTTCCTCTTTTGTGCTTCATTGTGTTTTATATACTTTTCAAATTTCAAATAGGGATTGCTTTGCTTAAGAGGTTCATTGGATTTTTCCTTTACCTTAAGTTCAGTTTGCTTTTGGCGTTGGGTTTTTGTTTATTTTTGTTATAGGTACTGGTCATGATGGTCATGAAGTAGTTGCTTCATCCTACTCTTGATTTCCTTGTGTTTTCACGGTATTATATATTCCCTACGTCATTTTTGAATGATATTCTTTGTATTCGAGTGGAGGTGATATGGTGCGAAGGGGAATTCATTTTTTTTTCTAAGGACTGTTGAATGATTGAGGAAGTATTGTTGCATTGTAAATTTATCCAAAGCAGTGGTTAAATAGTCTCAACGAGATGGGGTTTTGGATTAAAACTATCTATTTTTTTGAATCAATTGGATAATCCTTTATATGACGATCCCGTGGTGTTACTTCGAACTTCATTCTGCATTAATTGCATATCTGCAAAACTTCCACATTGAGCCGCCTTCTTTGTATTGTGTATGAAATTTTAATTCTTGGCTTGACTATCATCTTTTGATTAACAAAATTGTATCTGGCCTTCTTGTATGTACACCATTGGAACAATGCCATTCCTTTTCCTACCCATTGCTAAGATATTTAGTGTCAATACTAAGGGGTGTAATCCAACTGAAAGTCCTTTTGTTAGTTCCTAAAATTTGTATGTTTCAAAGTTAATAGTCAACTATTCAAATAAAGGATCATATTGCAGTTAGAATGAAGCACATTTTGAAAATTCTGGCATTGTTGGTAGCTATTTCTGCTGTATGGATTGGCCTACTACAGACATCAATAATTCCAGGGAGTTATACGTGGTTGGTGAGCTTCTTCTCCTGGAAACACTTATTTCTTCCCCTGGATCTCTCTCCCTCGGATGAAGTCAATACTTAGTAATTTCTTTCACCTTTTGTTTGCAGTTGCCTCTATATCTCATAGTTTCTCTTGGATGCTATGGTCTCTTAATGGTTGGGATTGGCCTGATGCAATTTCCAACATGTCCTCATGAGGCACTTCTGTTACAACAGGTACTTTTGCTTTATATTCTTTGGTCAGACAAGTTGCATGTTGTGGTTGTTGTGTGGATATACTTGGTGCGCTTGTGTTACATGCTAGAGTAAACCTGCAAGACCTTCGATGAAATAAATGAAGAAACTACAACAGACATTTTTATTTATTTTTATTGGGAAAAAAGATAGAAGGAAGAATTAAGTTCAGTGTTGTAGCTGCAAAATCTACACATGCTAGATCAGATGATATGGAAGACATGTCTGTTGGAGTATTTATTCTTTTTTGGTTTTTGCTCTCGTAGGACATTGTTGAAGCTAAGGACTTCCTGAAGAAGAAAGGGGTGGATGTTGGTTCTGATTGATTTCTGCTGGAGAGGTTTCATTAAATTTTGTATTGGAGAAAGAAATAGTGGCTAACAACAGGATGTTTTGAAGGGGAAAAAAAATGCATAGGGTTTCACGTAAATGTGGTTTAGGCTGCAAGAATAGGTTTAGGCATTTCCTTCCGAGGAGATATTTAGTGATTTTGGCAGCAAAGAAATCAATTTGGAGGTTTTTCGTCTGTAAAGCTAGGGGCATTATCAGTGTGCCAAAATTGATCAATTTTTCTCCTTCCCTCTGCTATAGAAAATAGATGTTTCTGGATTTTGATGATTAATGAGTGATACGGTTCAAAATTGTTCCATTCAGACTTCTTTCACTGAGAGTTGATATTCTTATTTATCATGTTTTGCTCCCTTTTTCCCCTCCCATTCATTTCTGAATAGAGTAATGCTAGCTCGGTTCCATGTGTGTGACTTGTGCCTCCACTTTTGGATATGAAATGAGCATTGCTCCCTCAATAGAACAATTTTCATCACATTTGGTTAGAGAAAAACATAGAAAGAAAGTATAATTGTGTTCGTTCCATCCACAGGTTTGCCAAGAAAACCAATTAAAAGGTTAAATTAAATTATATTACTTCCGAATCTCTCATCAAACACAAACTGTATACAGTTCCAGACTTCTAGTACTGTTTCTAGTCGTGCCTCGACAGATAATGATTACTCTTCTCTATCACCCTGTATAAGATCAGTATTCAGCTTTTTCAAGTACCTCTGATTCCCTCAATCAGTTGCAGAATACCAGAATCCTCCATCTAATATTCTTGCTTGATCTCTTCACTAACTGGGCTATAAGTTTTGTACTCCCATCTAATATTCTTTCCAAAATGACACTTGCATAAACAACAGCATACAGAATTATCTGTTTGAGTTTGCTATGTTTCCACCAGTGCACAAGCAACCTTCTGCACTGCATATTTCCATTACTCTTTTTAGCTCCATCCATTCTTGTATTTGTTCCGGCGATAAAAACTCAGCGACGACACTTACAGAACACATGTACAACTGTTTCTTCACGAGCTTTCACATAATTTTGACGTGTAGTTTCTGGCAGATTTATCTTTAGGATTTTTCATCCAGCCTTCTGCCAATATTTCACCACATTTTTGTTGGGGAGAGGGACGACCAACACGCACGCAGGAAAAGAGAAAGTACTGTATGTATATTTTACCCTAACAATTCAAAATGAATTCCAAAAGGTGTACTTGCTACTGACAACATTCTTTACCCTGAATGATTCAAATAGTTGAAATAAATGAATGTTAGAAATAGAACAAAGATTTTAAGCTCGAAATGATTAATGCATGATTATGAGGATCTCCCATTCCTTTATGGCTAAAAAAGCATGAGCCTAGAAAGCCAGGACTTGTGAATCTGGCTTGCTGATGATCCCATTCATGTGTGCCTCCTGTAATCACACAGTATACAGGAGTTCTTCAAGAAGAAGCTAACACTGTCTATATATAAGGCTTTCCAAATCACAATCGGCTTACTCATTTCCCCAAAGGAGAATGACTAAAATCGGTTTGAACACTTCCATTTCCTCCAGCCATGCAGTTTGATGGTCCTCCGATTAACTGTAGCGTTTACTAGACAATGGAAATCTCCTAGCCATATTTTCTGGCTTGCTGTTCAGGCCATACGAGGGTCTTTTCTGTCCAGTGTTGTATTCGATGTAAACCATTCCAGACGCAGTTTGACGGACTTTAAGACCTTGTTCATATTCTTCAAAATTTTCAAGACCAATTACAGCATTATCACCAGCATTCAATATCTTACTGAGAAGCGCAAGCTGGTCTTGTGAATCTTGATAGCTCAAGTCATGAGGTCCAGAATCAGAAGGAGGCAAGCTACTGATGACCTTGAAGTCATATCCTCTGTCAATCAATAATGTTTTGCCTGTTTGTTGCGTAATACATTTCATCTGTATCCATAGAAGAAAGTGCGTAAAAAAATGGCATTATACTCTTCTTTACCCCCTGCTGCTCTGTCTTGGTGGTTTCCTTTGGCCCTCAGAATACGGTCGATTCTCTGATGCCTTAAATGATCATCTGATGAGATCAGAATTATCATGTTAGCCTCCGGTATGTCTGTAGAGTTTTCAACCATCTTTGAGATGAAAATGGTGTTCACTTCCTTGCTAGTTTTGAATGCCTCAAGAATCATTGGCCTGTCACGATGGCTTGTTCTATGGCAAATGATAGGTTTCTTTAGCTTCGTTGCATACTCTAAAAGAGCAAAACGATCTGCATAAACAACTGAGTATTTTATTGCTGCTCTGCTGCTCATGAAACCGGATCAGAAACTCGCAAGCCCTGAACTTGTTCGGGTTCATCACAGAAAGTGCTCGCTTCTTCTTGGAATTGCCAGGCTTCAAATATTCAACATAAAACTCCCTTTGTCATTGGACACCTCACTTCAGCAAACTGAACATTTGCTATGAACCCACTTTTTGGTAAATCCATCCAATTTGCCTCGTACAATTTGGGGCCAAGGAGGAAATCCAAGTCTCTAATCTCTACAAGTCTAGCTTTTAGTCCCAGTTTACAATGAGATTTTATAATGCTGATGAGTCTTTGGAACATTTGACCAGGGACAACATGAATCTCGTCCATTAGAAGCAATCCCCACTCTTTGTTCTTGATTTCTTGCATTATCTTTTCAGCTTCAGCAGAACGTTTCCCAGCTAAAGAAATCATGTTGTACGTGGCTATAACTACAACAGCTCCGTCACCTGGAAAAGCTTCTTTGGTTGCAGATGTGCAACGTATGATTTGATCGTCGCGAATTGTAGACCACGACTTGAATCGATCAAATCAACCCATCGGTCAACGGATGCAGCTTCTGTTGCCAAACAAAGGCAGCTTTTCTTAATCCTGCTGGCTGCAGCCACAGCCACCAAAGACTTGCCAGCACCATAAGGTAACACAATGACACCTGATCTTGCCCTGCCATTATTGCCAAACATTTTTCTTAGACACTTCTCTTGATAACGCCTTACCTGGACTTGAGGCTTCAGTTCTATATCAAGATCAGGATTGATAGAATCACTCCTGAAATCATATTCCTCCAACATCGGGTAATTCAAAGCGTTTGGCAAACACTCCTGCTTGACGCTTTCAACCCCAAAAGGGTCAATCTCAAATGCCTGAATCTCCTTTTCCTCCGTCACAGCAGATAACTCTGATTCGCTTCCTTCAATTTCACCCGGGGATTTACAGTCAGATGAGATTCTGGCTCGCCGAATTGTTTCATTGTCGAGCAATTTCTGCAAAACCTCTGGAAATCGGGACTCGACAAAATACCGATTCTTCTTCAGGACAAGCTTCACTTTGCCATAATTGGCTGTTGATTCGTGAATGAAATCTATGATCTGTTTTGGGATCTTTGTTTTTGACAATTTACTCAAAACAGATATGATAGTTTCAGTGTCGAGCCCGGTTGAGACCGCTGCATACAACGAGTCGGGAGTCAGATTGTATTCGTGCATCGAATCCTGCCGGCAAACGAGTTCAGCAACCTCAATTAAGAAATCTTTCGCTTCTTTGTAGAATGGGGAAATCGTTTCCAGGAAAATCCGGCCATCAGGAACAACCCACAGCGCCCGGTTTTTGTGATCGGGCTTCAGATCCAACTCCGTCGGATCCCTAATTTTCCCGGTTTTCGTGATCGGGCTTCAGATCCAACTCCGTCGGATCCCTAATTTTCCCTCTGCTATCCCGATTACGCATTGAATTTGCGGTAGCACTGTCATCGGAATCGTCATCATCCTGTATTGGAATTGGACCTATGTTCTTCCTCCTTTTTCAAAAACTTGATCTTCTTGCTGGGCCGATGTTCATCGCCGCTGTCCATTGTAGTGTAATTCAAGGAATCTGATGATTAATCGATATGATTCATATTCTGAATTGGAAGGAACTGATATAAAAAGCTTTTTCGCATGGGAGAGACTAGAGAGGACCAAATTGTTCATATTAGAAAACAAAAGGATTCCTTTTACGTTTGGTTAAATATTAGGGACCAAACTGTCTTTTTTCCCTTTCTTCTTCTTCTTTAGAAACTCCATTGTTTTTCTCCTCACCAATTTTACACAGTTTTTGTTGTTGCTGCTTCAGTTTCCGCAAGCCGTTGTTGCTCCGGAAAAAATACCTATCCACTGATTCTCCTTTGCCGTCCACTTCTCAGTCCTCCTCCTCCTCCCCCCTGCGCCGGAATTAGAAGAAGTGGTGGTGGTGGGTGGGCAGCCTTCAAGACCAATAAAAGGTATCTTTTTTTCCACTGGAACCGAATGTTAGAGTTTTTCTAATATGGGTTTGCTGCAAATATGGAGGAAATTTGAAAATTGAAACGAAAAATCGCAAGTAGTGACTAGTGAGCAGCAGAACTTTTCTGATAGTTGTAGTTTTTTGGTAGTGTTCGCGATTAACTCATGTTCAGAGCGAACTGGTTGAAACTGAAAAATATATTTAGTTGTTCCCCTTGCGTTCCCTCTAATTTAGTAAAGACCATTTTTTTACTTCCTTTAATTGTTTTGTGTTGAAGGATTTGAACTTTGAAGTAAAGGAAACAAATGCCGGAGTTCTTTTGCATAGGTTATGAAAGTTAGATTATGAAGTTAAGTTAGTGTCTTACTTTAGAATTGTGGTGCTCCATGTTCTTTTATATGCCTTGCTTTATAGTTGTGTGGGCACTCGGTTTTACTTGAATATTAGGAAGTAGGAACTGTATTCTTCAGGCTAATGATGAATGTAGTACTGGAGGGTCACTATATCTAGAGAGCCTAACAATGTAGTTTTGTTAATGGTTGAGTGTTTTGAAGTTGACATCATACATGCCCAGTCTGTTTTATGCATACAGGGTAATAATTGTGGAACTTTTGACTTGGGAGTGTAGGTTGGCGAGGCGGAGAAGTAAGAAAGTTTTCTTTGTAAATCTATGTGTGGTAGAAGTGCCAAAACTATCTTCATGGTAGTGAACAATCTGTGCGTTTCCGATTTGATTTCCTTGAATGCAAGCACCAGATCAAGAGCTTCAAGGCCAAAGAGGAATTATTGATTTCGTTTCGACGTCTTTCTCATGGGAACTATTTTTTCGATTGTCACATCTTACCTTAATGAACAACTTACTCTTTGAATTTGCTCCTAATCTGCTGTAAAAGTTGTTGTATACACCAGTTTCATTTTCTTCATCTTGTAATCCTGGGATACTGGAGATAAACAATTGAAGTATAAAAGACAAAGTAATCTTAAAAAGAAGTTTAGTGCTTCGAGTCTAATTCAATGTCAATCCTATGGAAGCAAACAAATCCTTAGCTTCATCTTTAGGTTCATTACTATTGATTTAAGCTGTTTGCTAATACGTAACATTATTTAATAATTTTGGTTCATTGAACATGGGTTATTCATGCTGTTTGATTTCCTTACTTTGTTTGCTCCGTGCCATTTTGTTCTTTTTAACGGTTTTATTCCTTCTGACAAGTTTGGTATTTTAGGCATTCGATGTCACATAATTTTTGTAGTTCTTTTGGTTATCGATTTATCCATTGCAAATGGAGCTGGAAGAATTATCATTGACAATTCTTTCAGCTTTGTGCTAATAATGGATTAGATCAAAATGGCTCATCTGAATTCCGGTGCTTCTTAATTTGGTGAAGTTTCCGGAAATCAATACATCAATGCACCAATGCATCTTGAGTTGTACTACTTAAACAGCCTCTCTGTATTGATATACAGGGGTAAGGCTGCGTACATCTTGATCCCCCAGACCCCAACCGAGTTGGAATATACTGGGTTGTTGTTGTTGTTATTTTGGTTATGGATTATTCTAGCCTTCCAGGTGATTAGGAAATATTTGAGCATCATTGGTGGTGTCTGATTTTTCTCCTTGCAACATGATTTGTTTGCTCTTGAATATACGCTCATTAGAGGCAACCAATCTGATATGGTATCAAAGATCAGCTGAACAGATTTGGCTACTAAATATCCAAGTGCATTTACTTGGAAAGTATTAGTTTTGATTATGGTATAGAGACACTTCATAATCTCCAAGTTGTTATGACACCGCATTAATGTTTGTTTAATTTTTGAAGCAGGGCTACCACAATGTGTTTGCTGGTATATCCTAAAAGATAACGAAGAAAGATGATTTTAATGGGCTCTCTACCTTCTATGAACAATACGTAAAAGTTGAAATTAGATTTTAACATATACAGTTGTAATATTTAGGCATGTGGCAGAAGTTTAGAAACGTTATGTTGAAATTATTACACGTGTGAAGGTGTGGATCAAACAGCTAGGTGACCTTCAACTAGAGATGGTTATTTCAGCAGATCTTGCTCTTATATGACTCTCAATTCATCTCACTCTTTTCATCTTTGATCTATTGTAATTCTTGTTTGGGTATTGGTATGCCTCTAAATCTTGTTCTTCCATATTTCCTTTTTTCATCCAATGTTTTTTCTCTTGATTTTTTTTTTCATTTTTTGAAGAAATTTTGTTGTGAAGCACACAGTTAAGGTTTATGTCTTGCTGATTTGCCTCTTACTTCTTAAGGATAAGGGCCAAGACTCTGTCACCCAGAAAGACGTCTTAAAAAGAGAATGGCTGTTACCGGTGGCTCTGATTTATCCTCTGAAATGGAGGTGGATGCTTTTAGGCGACTTTTCCCTCTGCGTTTTCACGAACGCCATTTGCTGGAATCTATAAGACCTGATGGCCGGAGCCTTGGAAAGGCTAGAGATACAACCATAGCTCTTGGTAGGTCACAGGTTTCGTTGACTAGTTTTTTGAGGTTTCTTAATCAGAATTCAATGATTTTATCGTTCCTCATTGGTTTAATGTAGGAGCGGTTACATCTGCCAATGGATCTGCATTAACAAAGATAGGATGCACTGTGAGTTTTGATTTTGATTTACCTCCAGTTTCCCACTGATAATTTATAAGTCTGTATAACAAAGTGTTCTTCTTTGATGATTTATAGACCATGTTGGCTGCTGTAAAATTGGAGGTCATGACACCGACGCAGGAATCTCCTGATGAGGGCTGCATAGGTTCTTCTTCTCACCTCCCATTCTGATTAAATAACTTTTTATGATCTAGTTGCTGAAGATGTACCTTTTTTTTTTTATACAGCTGTAGATTTTCACATGCCTCCTATTTGTTCTCCCGCTGTTCGACCTGGCAGACCATCTGAGGTTGCTCCTGTTGTGGCAAAGCAACTATCTGATGTTATCCTAAGGCAAGTGAGGGGAGCATTTCTTTTTCTTTGATGCTTCACTGTGTTTAAATGGAATAGTAAAGCAAATGTCTGCATTTCAATTCTTCTCATTCTAGAACTTCTCTCTTGCCAGTGTTTGATAGTTTGCAACTTTCCAACCTCTACCATTGAATTTGTTCTCTTTTAAGTTTTGTCCTCCTTTTCTGATTAATTGTTTTAACCTTGTGTAGTTCTGGCATGATTAATTTGAAAGACTTATCATTAGTCAGTGGGAAAGCTGCATGGATGGCCTACTTGGTAATGAAATTCCCTACATTTTTCCCCATTAGCCTGTTTCATTTCTTTCTTTTTCCTTTCAACTTGTGGTAATCTGGGAAGTTCAGCATGTCAGTGTTAATGTGCCTTGCAGTTAGCCATTTTGGGCATTGATTATTTGATACATTAGGTGTCAATGCTTACTTAATATTTATGGGATGGCGCAGGATATATACTGTTTAGATGCGGATGGATCCCTATTTGACGCTGCTTTACTTTCTGCTGTTGCTGCCTTTTCGCATTGTGAGATAGTAACCATCTTCTGGTTATTGCTAATTGCCTTTGCTAATCATTTATACTTCACAGCACCCCTCATTTCTTAGTTAAGCATACTTTTTCTAATTTTATTGAAATTCGACTGTCTTGTAGTGCAAATCCCTGTAGTTTCTCTGAGCGACGAAGGAAGAATAGTTCTTGTTCCTGAGGGTAATGGGGGAGGAAAGTTTGAGAAGGAGCCTGTCAACAAAGAGAAGAGAAAGCTTAAATTGTGCACTTTACCATTCTCCTTAACATGCGCCCTTCACAAGAATTACATTCTGGCTGACCCTACATCAGAGGAAGAGTCAATAATGGAGACACAATTAACTGTGGTTTTGGATTCGTCTGGTCTACTTGTGTCGCTTAACAAGCCAGGTGGATCGGTTTTTGCTCATACGTCAGTTATACAGGTTAGTTCATGTGTACATTTTTCTGTATTGATAAGCAAGCCGTGTGGTTCAATATGCGATTGTAGCTCAGAGGGATATAATTGTATGCCATGATTAGGCTTGTCCATGGAAATAGTATATCCCCATCTTCAGAATTTGGGTAATCCATTTGGTTTGAACCAACTTTTACATTGCTTCTGTAATTGCTTGTTTTAGAAATGTTGAGGTTGGGATATGAGCTGAATGATGCTTGAACCGCTTATACAGTTAGGCCATTTTAATCATCTATGTGGATACGAGTTGCACAGTTCCCTGTGGTTGGTACTAGACCAACCTCCCTCTTGTCCTCCTTTTCCAGTGTAACCAATTATCTCATTATTTGTAAGCCTAACTTGTAACAACCACTTCTGTTGAAGAGCTTAGGAAATGGAGATGCTTACTAATTCTCTGGGCAAAGTAGCTGCACATTTCACTCCGGAATCTTTGTTAAATGTAGTATTATAATTCCTCTCGTATAATTTTGCTACTGTTGCCCCCCAAAGAACTGCAGGTTAAAACTTTTCCATGGACGGAGTATTTTCGGCATCTATCTCAGTAATACATTCTAGTTTTACAGCCCTTCAAATGCTGGCGTTAATTTTGACACACATATATATATGTTATGCTGATTGCATTGTATGCTAATTTATCGTGATATGCAAGAATCGAAAACCTCCTTCCTCAAACCCTTGGTGGGACCTCTGCTTACAAGGTTTAATGTGATTGCAGGATTGTGTAGCACTGGCAAGACAGAGACTAAAAGAAGTTAAATTGATCTTGAATGAAGCCATTTCTGACATGGATGTGGACTAAAATCCCAACACGTTTTGGGACTAAATCACCTTATCTTGCTTAATGATTTAGATTTGTAGCTAACTATTGGAATTCAAAGTGAACAATTGAGACGGGTCCTATGGTTTTAGCCTATTCTTACTTTGTATTATTATTATCTTCTTTTTAGTGAAATCTGTTCTTTAAGTATATTATTGTTACTAAGATTTTTACGGTAATTGAGAGCGTATAGATGTTTTTACTGTCCCAAAAATCAACTGAATAGCAAAATGTGTGAACATTCTTCAAAACTTTAACTGTAATTCTTAAATGAATGGTCTATTTGTGACTGATTCAGAATGATTTTGTTGGAAAAGATTAAAAGCTTACAGAGAATCCAGAAAGAAAAAAGAAACTTCTTCCTGTATTAATCTAATCTTCCCACAGGTTGCAATGTTGCAGTCCCATCTACCAAATTAGACAAATTTTAAACTTATGAAACTGTGCTACAATAAATTACTTCCTCCATTCTCTAAAATAAGTGTCGTCCTATATTTCACACATAGTTTAAGAAATTCTTACATAGAATAATAAAATTACTTGAATATTCTCAACCAACTCTCTTATAAAATTGTCTACTAATAACATTAACTCTTCTGAAGATAATTTTGGAAACTTTTGATAAAAAATGCATTGAAATATGAGAACGATACTTATTTTAGAATTTCTACGTTTTTTTAAAACGATACCTATTTTGGAATATTTTAGAATTTCTACGTTTTGTTAAAACGATACCTATTTTGGAATGGAAAGAGTACAAATTTCTGATTGCAGTTATAATCTTTTCACATTAACGATTTTTACTTACTCATCCCTGCTTCCAATCTAATACCAATAGTTCATCTTTTCCAATCAATTTTCTGTATAAATCAAAGTACATTGTTCTGTAGACATTCTTGTGGTGGTGGTAGGGAAAGCTACTGGACCACCAGCAAGGCAGCAACAAGAGAAATGGAAAACTACTGGTATGAATACAGTACAAGACTACAAGCAAGAAAATATCAGTTCCTTTTCAACGAGGGACACAAACTCAATGATCAGAATCTTTTTCAAAGCAAAAAGAGCCTTTCCCTTTCTATATTGCCTACGTTGGCACAAAAATCTTACATTTAATCTCTCTTTCCTCATCATCATCTTCATCATCCAAACTCTCCCTTCTCACTTGCCTATGATTCTGTATAGGAAATCCAAACCCACCAATAGGAACCCAAGGAAATTCATCCCACCAGATAGAGACAAAATCTGACTGTACAGAAAAAAAAACACACACACACACACACACTGATTAACACCATGTCTTTCTTTCCCTCTTCTTCTTCAAATCCTACTACAACAAAAATCAACCTCAGAAAAACCACACTCCCAAGTGGCCTACATTAATTTCCACGTGTTCTCTTGCATGACCACTAAACGCAGCAAAAAAACCCAACATTTAATTGAATTGCATTTTCCATTACAGTTGATCCTCTCCACTCAAAATTATAATAAAAATCAATACTTCCCCACTTGGTTTCCAGAAGAACAGAGGCAGAAAAAAAAAGAAGCAGAAATCTGCTGCCCTGCCCAGAAGGAGGGATTAGGGAAAGGTACTTTGATTGTTTGATTTCAAGCTCACTCATTGTTCAATCTTAACCTGAGCTTCTCAACTCTGTACATTTTGTAGAAAAATTTAGCCTTTTTTTTTTGGTTTCCAGAAGCCAAAAATTTGAAGAATGGCTTCTTTGGTTTCTTCTCCATTTACAATTCCCAACTCAAAAGTAGACCAGCTTTCATCAATTTCACAAAAGCATTACTTCCTTCACTCCTTCCTTCCCAAGAAATCCGGCCAACCCAACTCAAAATCACCCCTGAAGTTCAAATGTGCAGCAATTGGGAATGGATTGTTCACACAGACCACCCAAGAGGTCAGGAGAATTGTGCCTGATAAGAGTCAAGGCCTTCCTACTGTTAAAATTGTTTATGTTGTTTTAGAAGCTCAGTACCAGTCATCCCTTTCAGCTGCTGTTCAAACCCTGAACAGAAATGGCCAGTTTGCTTCTTTTGAAGTTGTGGGGTACTTAGTTGAGGAGCTTCGAGATGTGAATACTTACAAAACTTTCTGCAAAGACCTTGAGGATGCTAACATCTTCATTGGGTCATTGATCTTTGTGGAAGAATTGGCTTTGAAGGTCAAGTCTGCTGTGGAGAAAGAAAGGGACAGGCTTGATGCAGTCTTGGTGTTTCCATCAATGCCAGAAGTAATGAGACTCAACAAATTGGGATCTTTTAGCATGTCCCAACTGGGTCAATCTAAAAGTCCCTTTTTCCAGCTGTTCAAGAAGAAGAAATCATCTGCAGGTTTTGCTGATAGTATGCTGAAGCTTGTGAGAACTTTGCCCAAGGTCTTGAAGTACTTGCCTAGTGATAAGGCTCAGGATGCTAGGCTCTACATTCTTAGTTTGCAGTTTTGGTTAGGAGGGTCCCCTGATAATCTGGTCAATTTTGTGAAAATGATTTCTGGCTCTTATGTTCCAGCATTGAAAGGGATGAAAATCGACTATTCCGATCCTGTTCTGTACTTGGACACTGGAATTTGGCACCCTATGGCTCCTTGTATGTACGATGATGTTAAGGAGTATTTGAATTGGTATGCTACCAGGAGGGATGCCTCTGGCAAGCTTAAGGATCCAAATGCTCCAGTCATTGGGTTGGTTTTGCAGAGGAGTCATATTGTTACTGGTGATGAGAGTCACTATGTAGCAGTTATCATGGAACTGGAAGCAAGAGGCGCCAAAGTGATTCCGATTTTCGCTGGCGGACTTGACTTTTCGGGTCCCGTTGAGAAATACTTCATTGATCCGATCACCAAGAAGCCATTTGTGAATTCAGTGGTGTCATTGACTGGTTTTGCTCTTGTTGGAGGACCTGCAAGACAGGATCATCCTAGGGCTGTTGAGGCATTGATGAAGCTTGACGTGCCTTACATTGTTGCATTGCCTTTGGTGTTCCAAACTACAGAGGAATGGTTGAACAGCACCCTGGGACTACATCCCATTCAGGTGGCTCTTCAGGTTGCTCTTCCGGAATTAGATGGAGGCATGGAGCCAATAGTATTCGCTGGCCGGGATCCTAGAACAGGCAAGTGATCACCTCTCATCTCTTTTATCAGTCTTTTGTTTTCCTTTTAGTCCTAGCACGAAGTCATAAAAACATTGTTACCTGTTTGATGAGTTAGCTGATCATCTTTCTGGTATTTATGCTTTTAAGGTCATTTGGTGCTATTTTTTTTTTTTTCCATTTTAAAGATTTTATTATATCATATCAGGCTCCACACTGCGAGTGCTACCTTTATTATATGCTAACTGCATAATCTTTATCAACAATCACATCATAGTACCAATGTTCATTAGTTTGGTTGCGCAATGACTGCAGGGAAATCACATGCTCTTCACAAGAGAGTGGAGCAGCTGTGTGTCAGAGCAATCAAATGGGCACAACTGATGAAGAAATCAAAGGTATTGAACTAATTATTTCTTCTAGGTTTCGTCTTTGGTTGATAGTTTCTTGTAGCTTTCACAAGCTTATCTGTTCTTCTTGTCACCTGTGAAAATCTCATCAAATTCTTTATCAGAGAGCGGATATGTACAATTTTCATGTTTTCCTCTTTCAATTTTGCTTGATGAAGTTAGGGAGACATAGTTTAAACCTTTTATTCTTTTCTAGAGACTCAACGGCTGACATATGTAAATGGTGCTACATCTAAGTTAATCCATTCTTTTGTTAATGCATTCATCTGGCTTTGGGACTGTAGAAAGGTTGACTGCTGATTTCTTTTCTTTTTTTTTAATTTCCTACTCTCTGTTTTCTTAACTTCTGCTTTACCATTATCTGCAGACAGAAAAGAAGCTAGCCATCACTGTCTTCAGTTTTCCTCCAGACAAAGGCAATGTTGGAACTGCTGCATACCTTAACGTTTTTGCCTCCATTTATTCTGTCCTTAAAGACCTTCAAAGAGATGGTTACAATGTTGTGGGTCTTCCAGAGACTGCTGAAGGCTTGATTGAGGAAATTATTCATGACAAGGAGGCCCAATTCAACAGTCCAAATCTCAATATAGCATACAAAATGAATGTGAGGGAGTACCAGGCTCTAACTCCCTATGCCACTGCCTTGGAAGAGAACTGGGGAAAGCCACCAGGCAATCTGAACTCTGATGGAGAAAACCTTCTGGTTTATGGAAAGCAATATGGAAATGTCTTCATTGGAGTTCAGCCAACATTTGGTTATGAGGGAGATCCAATGAGGCTTTTATTTTCCAAATCAGCTAGCCCACACCATGGTTTTGCAGCTTACTACTCCTTCGTGGAGAAAATATTCCAAGCTGATGCAGTACTTCACTTTGGTACTCATGGCTCCCTTGAGTTTATGCCTGGAAAGCAAGTGGGCATGAGTGATGTCTGTTACCCTGACAGTCTCATTGGGAACATCCCAAATGTCTACTACTATGCAGCAAACAACCCATCTGAAGCCACCATTGCCAAACGTCGCAGTTATGCTAATACCATCAGTTATTTGACTCCTCCCGCAGAGAATGCTGGGCTTTACAAGGGACTGAAGCAGCTGAGTGAACTCATTTCCTCTTACCAATCGCTAAAAGATACGGGCCGTGGTGCCCAAATTGTTAGCTCTATTATCAGCACAGCAAAGCAATGTAATCTTGACAAGGATGTGGAACTTCCTGATGAAGAAGCAGAAATACCAGCCAAAGAGCGTGATCTTGTGGTTGGCAAAGTGTATTCCAAGATCATGGAGATCGAATCTCGCCTTTTACCCTGTGGCCTTCATGTAATTGGTGAGCCTCCATCTGCCATGGAGGCTGTTGCCACACTAGTTAACATTGCTGCATTGGATCGTCCTGAAGATGACATTGTCTCGCTTCCATCCATATTAGCTCAGACAGTTGGACGAGAAATGGAGGATGTTTACAGAGGAAGTGACAAAGGCATTTTACGTGATGTTGAGCTGCTCCGACAAATAACTGATGCATCACGAGGAGCTATTACTGCATTTGTCGAACGCACCACTAACAGTAAGGGTCAAGTAGTTGATGTTGCTGGTAAGCTCAGCTCAATCCTTGGGTTTGGCATAAATGAACCTTGGGTTGAATATTTATCAAATACCAAGTTTTATAATGCTGACAGAGAAAAGCTTAGGGTCCTCTTCCGGTTCTTGGGTGACTGCCTGAAGCTAGTTGTGGCTGATAATGAGTTGGGAAGTCTGAAACAGGCTCTGGAAGGTAAATATGTTGAACCAGGGCCTGGCGGGGATCCAATTAGAAACCCGAAAGTTCTGCCAACTGGGAAGAACATACATGCTTTGGACCCACAAGCTATCCCAACTACTGCAGCCATGCAAAGTGCAAAGGTTGTAGTGGACAGGTTGATTGAAAGGCAAAAGGTTGATAATGGAGGAAACTATCCCGAGACTGTTGCACTTGTATTGTGGGGAACAGATAACATTAAGACATATGGTGAGTCACTGGCTCAAGTATTGTGGATGATTGGAGTTAGACCTGTTGCTGACACCTTTGGGCGTGTGAATCGAGTAGAACCAGTCAGCCTTGAAGAGCTTGGAAGGCCAAGAATTGATGTGGTAGTCAATTGTTCTGGAGTGTTCAGAGACCTCTTCATTAATCAGGTACAAAATCTAAAATAATTATAGTGGGTGTTGTTTTTGGCGACACTGGATTATCTCTGGTAGCATGTTATTTCTATTTTGCATTTGCTCTACTTCAATTTCAGTTTTTCTCTTTATCCCAATGCTAATTATCTCTATTTCCTTTTTCTCGACAGATGAACCTCCTTGACAGGGCGGTGAAGATGGTTGCTGAACTCGATGAACCAGTAGAACAAAACTACGTCAGGAAGCATGCCTTGGAACAAGCAAAGGAACTTGGCATTGACATTCGTGAAGCTGCAACACGTATCTTCTCTAATGCTTCCGGATCTTACTCCTCTAACATAAATCTTGCTGTGGAGAATTCTACCTGGAATGACGAGAAGCAACTTCAAGATATGTACTTGAGCCGAAAGTCATTTGCCTTTGATTGTGATGCTCCTGGTGCCGGAATGACTGAGAAACGTAAAGTCTTCGAAATGGCTCTCAGTACAGCAGATGCCACATTCCAAAATCTGGACTCTTCTGAAATTTCACTCACCGACGTCAGCCATTACTTCGACTCTGATCCTACCAACCTGGTACAGAACCTCAGGAAGGATGGAAAGAAGCCCAGTGCATATATTGCTGACACAACCACTGCTAATGCACAGGTGATTATCTTAGTATTTTACTTTTACCTTTTCCAAGGAATGAAGTGGCATTACTATTAAAGATATATTACTAACAAAAAAATAAAAAAAAATTAAAGAAAATGATATATTACTAATTGCTGTTTGTATCTCTCTCAGGTACGTACATTGTCTGAGACAGTTCGGCTTGATGCAAGGACAAAGTTACTGAATCCCAAGTGGTATGAGGGAATGCTGTCCAGTGGATATGAAGGAGTTCGTGAAATTGAGAAACGTCTGACAAACACTGTTGGATGGAGTGCAACTTCAGGCCAAGTAGACAATTGGGTTTATGAAGAGGCTAACACAACATTCATCCAAGATCAGGACATGTTGAACAGGCTGATGAACACAAATCCAAATTCTTTCAGAAAGTTAGTTCAGACATTCTTGGAAGCCAATGGGCGTGGATACTGGGAAACTTCTGAAGATAATATTGAGCGTTTGAGACAGTTGTACTCTGAAGTTGAAGACAAGATCGAGGGAATAGATAGGTAAATATTCAAGCAAAGGAAATAGTTCTTGATTGCAAATAACTTTGTTCATTCTAAGCCCTCTCACTTTGTATCAGCCAGTGGCTCTCTGACTCTGAATTATCCATGGACCGGAGTAGTCTGTATCCGAAAATTTTTCATCATTCCCACCCTGTGATTCCAGTTTTATGAAGGGATTTTGTAATAACGGTATTGTAATTGATGAGATACTGGTCTCTACTAAATGCAATTCTTAACCATTACCATTGTCCATTGTTCCTCCATGGTTTGTATTACTTGTCTCAACTTTTGTGCATAAATAAGGTAAGTTTGCATTCCTCTACCCTTCTGTTTGATAGTAAAACTTGAAAAGATTCAATTTCGGAAGCCCGAGACAAATGTTTTCGATGTGCATGCCTTCAAGAGTATAAGATGGGATTTGCTGAACAGAGATTCTGATTCATTTTATACAATCAACATAAAGCTCAAAAAATTTACAGATAATGTTGTCAAAGAACTTTTTGATACTTCTATGAAGAAAAACAAAAAGGTTACAAAAACAGGAGCACTGTATCTTCTCCATCTTCCATTTTTCTGTCAGTAATCTAATGCACAGGTCAACAATAATACAGGAAACTCTACAAAAGAACTACCCCACATCTTCCAGTCTCCAAAGAATGGTGTAAAAAAATATTGCTGAATATGGTATTGACAACTTCATGTGTATAGCTTTCCCTGTCTTGCTAGGGTTTTATGAATATCATCGAATCCTTTTCAATTCTGATTATACTAACTCCATTAACAGCGGGTCACCAGCTGCCATAACTCTTATTAGCTTGATGAACTCTTGCTCACTTGATATGTTCCATGGATGAATAGCTGCTGCTTCAGCAGAGTAGATCATTGTCAAATTACCTGGTGGCTTTCTCTTATAGATCATTGAGTTTAATACAGGGTCAAAGTTCTGTTGTGAGTCCATTGCCATGAAGAACATGGGCATCGCAACCTTGTGATGGATGTCTAAATCACCAACAAGATTAACGAGATCCACAAAGTCTGCAACAAAATGGCGAGGCACGTAGAATAACTCTGAATTGCATATTGTAAGAGTCTGCTCGCTCTTGACGGATTCTTTGTAATTGACTTGCAAATGGACAGGCATGTTGGCAACTACTTTCTTTACCAAGTCGGCTTGCTGTGTGAACCATTCTGAGTTGCCAGCTACGGAAACTGTTGTCCATGACTTAGACACCTGTATGCAACAAATCACAAAGTCAGAAACTTCCGTTTTAATCTAGTTTTCAAGAGGATGCTATATTTCAGTCCGATATATCATTGGCTCAATATCAATACTCAAAATGAAAAAGAAAGCTGTTAAGGTGCCAAAAGCAACAGTTCATTCAAGGACGCAAGAATATCTTCATGTTCATCTTACCTTATTTGTAATCCAGAGCTTGCTCTGGTCAGCAGACATTAAGTTCCAATAATTGAGAATTGTATCATCCTCAAGGAATAAAAAGCCTTCTGCACTAGTATATCTTGCAAATAACTTCGGTAAATACCTGTGCGAATGTGTACAAAAGTAAGATTAAATTCCAAGTCACCCTAAAAATGTAAAGCTGATGCCAATTCAGCCATACATGATTAACTATCCCAAAGTAGCAGGTGAGTTGTAAGAGCAATACAGACTTCAAAAACAGAATACTGTAGAGAAACTTAGTAGAAATGCGAAATGCCAAAAATCAACCAAGTATAACCGCAAGTAAAACTTGCATACTTCCATATCCCCTTTCTTTTCAATCAAACAAAGACAGAGAAGAAAAGAGTAAAAGGTGGACCATATCAATAATATGATTCAGAGATCACAACTATATCCAAGAGATACACATCTTCCCGAGTAAATGATTCCATAAGCTGTTCTCCAATAATAAGTCTTAAAACATATTCCCTTTTTTTCCTACTACCAAACGGCAGCCATGCTATTCACATCAACTAAATATGAAGCTTTTTAAGAATCTGGCAGTAAACAAATTCAGACGCATATACAGTCTTTAAGAAGGCTTTCTCATAAATAATTTCAACAGAATAGGGTTGCCAGAAAATTGTTCCACAATTGTTTCCTAAAACTCGGTGATGCAGACACATAGCTGCCCTCACTTCAAAAATTAATGCTATGGTCTCACAAATAAAGAATTGAATTTTATAATTGCAGATATAATGTCTCCTCTATTGACTACTAAATGTTTCATTATCAGCAACCTTCCAAATGGCAACAATCAAAGAGCCTCTTTTTTCTTGGTATGGAGACAATACCCAGTCCACCTATTCATTTCTATTCCCCTTTACTGTTGGAGGTTATTCACTCTTCCAATTATTTCAAATAAAACTAACTCCACTATCCATATTATAAAATTTTAGAAACCATACATTAAGAGATACAACTTCATTACTAATATCCACAGGTAATAAAGCTTTGATTGAAACTTCGAATTTTCACACTATTCACAATGTCAGAGTTCAAATTCTGAAATTCCAAAAAAAAAGAGGCATTCATTCACAGTAACAATTTAAATGGTTCTATTAACATATCCAATAATGTTTGGTAACATTCCCTCTCCATGTAATATCTAAAGTGCAACTGACAACAAAGATTCGCATAAAGCGTTGGCACAACTCTACCACACAGTAGAACATGCTCAGACCTCAGAATTTGAAATAGCCAATTCAAATTGTTGGAAATAAGAAAAACATCAGAATCAAACACAACAAAGAAAACAGAAGAAGAATCAACTTACTTGTACATGTGGTCCAATTCGCCTTGTTCAACAGCAAGATCCACATTTTTCTGTGGTGACAATATAATAACTGTCTTAAAAATCCTGCCATATAGCAATCTCCATTCCAGAGCAGTACGTTCAACAGGTCCACTACAGAACATTATAAGCACCACGTTCCCAAAATTCTTCCTCCATCGAATCAAATTCCCAATTTCATAATTTACTGTCCCTATTTCCTCAACTCCAAGATGTACAGATGGTAACTTTCGAGGGACAAACTCCTTCCTATCACCATGACCAATAATTGCCCTTGGTCGATCAATTTCGAGGGACATCAGCCTAGGTTGTTGGTACCCAACAGCAAGCAAATCTTGAAGCCATGCAGCAGTAAATTTGACATCTCTCTCAGTCCAAAATCCTTCCTCCGCCATTACATAGCTCAAATCCAAAATTTTCTCAAACAGTCTGTGTTTGTTGGATCTCCATGACACCAAGAACTTGATTAGCCTACCCACATTGACATGAAGATCCTTCTCCTCGGAGAAAGGATAGGCTTCAACTCTATCTTTCCGATGAATTGTAGGAGGATACACCACCACATAACCACCAATTTCCCACAAAAGCCTCTGTGCCCAATAGCCCCTCAACACATCTGAAGCCATTGTACTAACGGAGACAGGAAGCATCAATGCCCAAAATGCTGAAGAATGGAAAATGGTATTAAAAGAATTGACTGGAACCATCATCCCCTGTGGCAGTGCTACTTTAGGCGCATGCTCATCAAACCTGATATCGAATGCCTCCAACCCCGTTTTCCTAGTGAAGTAAAAAACTGAATCCACATCCGGCAACCCATTACTAATCCCTTGTTGTATGAATTGCTTCCCACCAAACACCTCAGTATAGTATTCCTCATGATTAATCTCGCCTGCATTTTCCAATGGCAATCCCCTTGGCCAAACAGATCGCTGCCCAAAATGTACATAAGGGTTCACAACAGTCCTATTAACATTCTCATGACTATATTGCAAGATCACCTCCTGCCTAGCTTCTTCCCCAACCAATTCAACATCGAAATGTTTGCCAATATCATTATCAATCACCTCCCCACGATCATCCATATCAAATATTTTCTTAGCACCATGTTGGATGGCAAATAAATACCCAACAGATTTTCTAACATAGGAATCATAAGGCAAGTAATCAACAACACGAAAACCAAGCTGCGCTTGCATATCTAAAGACAAGAAAATGGCACCTCTAAGACTCCAATCTTTAGGGGTCTTCGAATTGCCCACTGCAAGAAGCTGCCAGCCCTTCATCTTGCTCAATTTCACAAGCGAATCGGATGGATAATCGGTCACTGACACCACGATCCACTTCTCTGATCTAAAGCTAGCATAAGGAGAGGACTTATCAGTAATGGGACTGATAGAGTTCCAGTTAACTTGAGGAAGTTGAGGATGGATGGAATGAGCTTGCGAAGACTGAATACATAACAAAGCAGAGGTGTCGCCGCCAAAAGCCCCATTCCTGAGAAAGAAAAGGGCCGCAACGGTGGTGACCAGAATGAAAATAATCACGACCCTGTACAGATTTTCACAAACCCAATTGGACAAATTAAGATCTTTTGGCTTGGAAAATCTAGTAGAGGTTGGAAGAAGCTCTTGTTCTTCGGATTGGGAAGTCGGTCTGGGAATGCTTTGGGGTGGTTTTGGGGGTTTCCCATTTGGACGATCTTGGACTAACATTTGACAATCTCTTTCAGTGCCCCCAGAAAGCTTAAAGATTCAATCTTTATTCACAAATGGCATCAAAAATCAAAACAATGGCAATCACAAACACACACACAGTGAGAAGTGATGAACCCAGAATCTGAAAGAATCCCTCGAGTTCAATGGGGGGAAGATTGACTCCTCTCCTCCAGTGTGTGAGTGCGTGTTTTTTCTGCTTGGGAATTGAAATGGGGTTGGTGTTTGCCGACAGAAGTTGAAGTGATGTGGACTTGGTTGTTCTGGCACTTTAGTGAGGTGGTTTTTCTTTCTTTACTTAAGCTTGAATCTAACCTCAAGTAGTTGGTTAGATCGGATGGGGTCTTTTTTTTTTCCATAAATTATTAACACTCTTTTGGTTTTTTAAATGTAATTTTTAGGGAGATGTTTGTGTTTTTTTGGGGGTATAACTTAATCTTTTGAATGAGAAATTTGATTGGATTTTGGTTGAAAATGGAAGATTGGATTTGAATTTGGATGGATTAACTCAACTATGGATTTAAGGTGATTGGATTTGGAGGTTCAATATATGATCAACAAATGTTTACATTGTATTTTATGCCTATGTGACCATTCATTTTTGTAAAATACTACTTCGGTCTCAAAAATAATAGTCCACTTTGAGTTTTGAATTTTGTATTGTTTTTAGTATAAATTTGAAAACTCGATATTAACTGTTTTTTTTGGAACGAAAGAAGTAAGAATCAAGGTTAATTTAATACTTCTAAAATAGGATAAGTTAGTTTTTACTCAGAGATTTTAAATGTCATTTTTAAGACAAATAAAAAAGTAGGGTAAATTAGTTGGATTAGTTTTGGTGACAAGTTGACGGAATTTGCAAGGCAGAAAAAAGAGAGACCGACACTTTAATTGAAAATGTTGAGAAATACTACTACAGTGGACATGTGGGTACGGAATGGGGGATTTTTGCATTGAACATTGTTAGTACTTAGTATAATGCTATCACTCTTGATTCACTCGCTGCTCATTGATCTAATCCATTTGCCATACAATAATTATCTTGTTTATATATAAAAAAAATAAAAATTCAAACTAAACCGTCATTTTAAGACAAAAAAAATACAAATTTTTTGTTGATTTGGATTAAGGTCTGAGAACACATATACTTTTTCCGGTCATTATTATAAGGCATTTTGATTTTTTCTAATTTTTGTTTATCATGTTTTTCCAATCTAAAATGAATCATAAATAGTTATAATATCTGTGAGAACAAAATAAACGTAAAGATATATTTTAAAATTTTATTTCCAATTGAAAGAACACAATAAATAAAATTTTAGAAAAAATTAAAATATCTTATAATAAAGAGTGGAGGGAGCACTAAATACGTTTTGGATTTCAAACAATACTAACTTGTGACCGTTTAGGTTATTTTTTTGTGAAAAAAATATAGTAGCAGTAAAAGGAACATATTTGGACAAATAATGCCTCACTGTTTGAGAATCAGCCAGCCGTAAAGCGGTAAAGGTTGGGTAACTATCTACTCAATAAACTCATGTAAATTTCTCTTTAAGAACACTTTACTAAATTAACTATATGGTAACCACATGGACGTTCATATTTCGGTTCAAACCAAACAGACCAACCAAGGCGATTATTAATTTGGTTATTTGGTTAGTTTGAAGATAGTATATATAAAAATCAACTAATGGTTTTTTTAAAAAAATCAGTTTAGTAACATAAGTTCTCTTAAAATATATTTAGTTTAATTTCAATACCACTTTGTAAAATACTAGATTGTTGTGAACCGCACGAGGTGCGGTGTAAGTGTGAAGAGGCCCGGATTATTAGTTTTTTGCATCGAAATAAATAGTGAAAAATGGATGGAATTTTATTTCATCACATAGTATATAACTTATTTGAGTAATAATTATACAAAGGATTTGAAATGTAACATTAATATGTAGTATAGTATGACGAAAAGGACAAATACAAAAGAAAAATAAAAAAAAAACGTGTAGAAATATTGTATTGGTAAACAATGATGAAGAATTCATGCAACTAATGGTAAGGAATTGATGCAATAGAAAGATCAAATCAAACAGATTCTGTTTTGAGCTTCTTGGTAATATCGGCAATATATACCCGATGCAAAATTTTCCCATAATAAGATTTAGCTCAATGATAACTACCCTTCTACAAATGAACCACTCTATTATGTGCATCATTTGGTAATAGAAGATCTACTCCTAGTCCATTAATAAGTCAGAGAAACAGGATAACAAGCTTAGCTATGTTAATTCATGCCTTAAATCTACCCCATCGCCTCCATGCCACGTATGCCACTTGGCTATAAACAACAAATCATGGATGGCAATAATCAAATATGTTTTCAACTTTTGACCCCAATCCGATTTTCGGTTTCATTATCACAAAAATCTCCGCAACGTTCTACTTTATTTTCTCTACGATACCAGTATTGCAGCTATCATTCACAATAGCAATCTCGGGCGTTTGGGTTGTTGGGCCCAAGGGCTTTTCTTCAGTGTTGCTACATAGCTTTTCAACACCTTCAGTCTGATTCTCTACTTCCGGCTCCATTGATGTCTCTACAGTTGTTAAATTCCCCCAGGGTTACTCAGCAGTCCCATTTGAAGCTAGTTCATTCTAATTTCTGATCTATAAAATAAAGTATTATTGCAACTTGTGGAACAGAGAAGAGTTTTTATCAAGTATATTGACATGAGGTAAAATTCTGCTTACCAAGTTTCAAAATCCAAGTAGAATGCAAAATGCTGCTCAGACATTCATCTAAGCTAGTGGGAAGACTTTCACATAATTGTAAACCTTATTTTCAGAGGGAATTTGCATAATAGAAACCTGAAAAATTGGAAGGAAACAATACGTAATGAGACAAAGTTTAAACACAAAACTGGCTGGTTCAATCTACAAAATTCCTGATTTGTCTGGCAAACTCTAAGCAGCTACTGATTTAACACTATTTCATTCAGAGAAGTACAATAACACACAGAAGACACATAATAAGGACTGTAAAATACCATACACTGACACAATCAAAATAACTGATAATTTTTTCTGTTGCTTTAATTATTATTAATTGCATGGAACAGAGATTATCGGTACAACAAACAAATCATAGATAAGGAGAAGTAATCGGCAAGATTCTATTAAGAAATTTCGGAATACATCCATCAGAAGAATAGATCTAAAGATAAGGCAGTTTTACATTAAAGATAAATTGGCCATCACCATCTATTATTAAAGCATACTCATAGTTAATCATATGCTGGACAAACACACGATTTTTGTTAAAAAAGCAGCATTGCTGCTAAGTCCTTTTCCTGAAGTTGCATAAATTTTCTAGGTTTTTATGGTTAAAATATTGAATAAATTTGCTAGCATTTTATGGTTGGCACACTTTCAGCTAGCAAACAACATTATGAGTGAACCCCAAGGTTTTTTTCCCCAATAATCCTTAGGCAAGACTTTTTTAAAAATGATTTCTTCATATTAAGCCTTGACGCAATGATCTCTTGTTCCCTTCATGATTCTTCGTAGAACAGTCAAAAAATATTGTTAACTTGGGCTATCATAAATTTGAGCCGATCATAAAAAAATAACTAGTTTTAGTTCCAAAGTCCTCAAGTCTATTTAGGCATATAAACAAACACGTGGTATGCAAACCAAACATAGGTATTTTTTTTTCGATTAACTCTACCTCATAAACAGGGGTGTTTTCACTCTTATTTCAGGAATTCACCAGAAAAAAAAATTGTACTACAAGGTCCAAAAAGTTACCACAACACAGATTTAGCAACTAAAACTCCATATCAGAATCTAAGTAACATAAAAATTGCAGATAATTCAATTCCAGATACGTGTGCTTACTCAATAACCAAAAAAGTTCATGATACAATCAATCAAATTCAGCCACTGTCGGATTACATATGATTCCTCACATTTTGGCATAGTTGTCCATATCATTTACATTAATTTCTTTGTTTGTTTCAAGAAGTCCTGCCTAAGGATTATTGAAAAGGAAAACCTTAGTGTTTAATTTTCATGTCGATTGCACAACCTGATAAGCTAGTACTTCAATAAATGAATGAAATTTCTCTTGGACATCAAGAGCTTGGTGGTACAGATGAATCTCATCATAGCATTATAACACATATGTGCAACATAACCCGTTAATGACATAAAATAAGACATCTTATACACACGAAATTAGTCAACCTAATACAACATATAATCAGTTTCAATTTATTTTTTTTTTCAATACACTATACATACAAGTGTAGCACCGACGGTTTTAAACAAATATCTTCACATCCATCAAAATTGTGCAAAGAATCAACTTACTTCAGTTAAATCGAGGGGAAAAGAAACAGAATAACAAAAAGGAAAGACTAACCCTTTGATTTTCTTCCAAGAACAAAAGTGTAATTTGTTGCCTTCTCATTCAATTAAAAAAACAGAGGTTGAATCCCAGTTTTTCTCCCCCCACCAAAAGTCACTTCGTTATTGCCAGCCTGCCTGCTTCTCCTTCAGTCGGAAAGCTTCCTAGAGCTGCCAGCTTCACAGGCAAAAGCAAAGCTTCGATGATATTCTTGAACGCTGTCCGATTGAAGAACAACATATTTGAGGGGAGAAAAAAAGGCAAAACTCATTGACTTCAAATTCCACAATCTAGGCACATTAAGTAGCACGATTCTTCATCATCCCACTAAGACGAAGAAGACGAATTAGAAAATTGAAAAATGGAGGAACAAAGTTCACGCCTCTGCGAAGGGAGGGGTTTGGACAGAGGAAACCGGCAACGGAAGATGGGACAATTGAACAAATAGGGTGGAAAATGACAAAAAAGAAGCAGGTCTAATAAGTGAAGTACACAGTCTATTATGATTGTCAACTTGAGAACTGAGATATCATCGGCAACTGAAAGAGAAAGTGAGGCAGAGGAAGCGAACGACCAACATGGATGAGAAGCGGTCAAATAAGACGGCACCCTGTCAGCAAATAAAGTGGGTAACTGGCATGAAACCGTGCCACAAAAGCGGATCCCCTCTTTATATTAAGTAGATATGACCAATTTTTTTTAGTTTTATTTTTAACATTAGGGGTTTAAGTTTGATGAGGGTCACATGGCTGATGGCTCTCGTCTTTTTTAACATGTACCCCTTTATTAAAAAAATGCTTGTGTAAGTGATAAGTATAATGGCATGTCTTAAAACTGGATAATCTAAGATAAACTATAATTGAATATAACAAGTGGTAATATCATTAAAAGATTAACCTCAACGCTAGAAATAAAAAATGCTTAAATTAGAGGGGGTTTTTTTTTTTTTGTGTGTGTGTGTGTGTGGAATACACAGGACAAATCTTTAATGTAAGACTTGAACTAAAGTTAAGTGTGTTGTATGTGAAAAATTATTGAATCGAACATGTGAATGCGCGAAATACCTCTTTTGTAATGGACTCAAACTTGAATGCCTTCAATATTAGATACGTTCATGTTCCAAAATTATTGTCCATTTCGGATTTTCACTTTAGTACAATTTTGGATTTGTACTAAAAATAAAAATCTAAAATGGACAACAATTTTGGGACATACCAAAATTTCGTGTAACATGTCACTCATTGCAAAAAAAAAAAAAAAAATCATCTTGTAAATGCCTCATGCACAAAATAATCCGCAATTGAAATTGATACGGTTTAATAATTAAAAAAAACTCATTTCTTATAGTATTTTATTGTATTATCTTGTAATAACATTTCATAAGCCACCTTTGATCAATAATTAACTTGAGCTTCTAAAAAATTTTGACTATAATTTCCATTTTACTCTTAGAAAAAAGGTTACCATACATAAGCCAATATGCGAAAAGTAAAAAAAAAAAAAATAAAAAAAATCAGTTATGTTATCAGGCAAAGAGGGTGGGGAAAAAACTAGGAGTATATAAATGACATAAACAGTAAATCAGATATTACGAAAAGAGAAAAAAAAAAGTTCAGAATTACAAATTGCAGAGAAGATTTCCCCTAAATTTTGAAAAAATTTCAACATCCCGCCCATTTTTTTCCTGAAAAAAAAAATGGAGGCATCATCTTCGAGTTCAAAATTTTCAGCAGAATCAGCATTATTACACGCATTTCCCAGTCCAGTTGAGCTCGACGTCGCCTCCTCACTTCTTCTTCTCTCCGCCACCACTCCTCCGCCGCGGTAATTTTGTGAAACCGTAAATCCTCGTTTAATTTTATCATGTTCGCATCAATTTAAGATTTACGAACTGAGTGAGTGCCTGGTTTTGTATTTTGCGCAGTGATAGAGGTCGCCTGGAGAAGCGCTGTGGTAACAAAGAGAGGAAAATGAAGAAGATGAAGTTTAAGCTGAAGTTCAAGGTGAAGAAGGTGAAGGAGATCGCGGAGGAGGACAGCAAGAATTCGCTTAATTTCGCGGATTTGAAGTCGCAATTGAGCAGCAGTCCGGCTTCATCGACGGTGACGGTTGAGAACAACGGCGATCAGCGGGACAAGTTCGTCGCCATGGTTTCTAAGCTTCCTCAGTTCCTGAAACTCAAGGTTACGATTCCGTTTACTTGTTTTTAGTTCGTGTTAATGAAATTACCGGATCATAAGCATAGAGCTCACAATTTTGTTGATAGAAATAACGATTATCCCCAATTATAGATCATCTTGATCTTATCGGTTTATTTATTCCCTACTCCGCCGGAAATGATAAGAACTTCAATTCTTCATAATTGAATGATCTGAACTGCCATGCGTTTGATGTTATAGATCGATCTTCCATGCGTTCGGTTTCGTTTCCATGCCTTAATTTGAATTTCCATTTGAGTTTGAGCTGTTTCTTTTTGTGCGATCATGCGCTCTGGTCTTTCTCGATAGAATTTTGATTTCAGATACCATTTGTTCTGGTGATTTTTACTTCCTTTCTGATGTTCATTTGAGCTTTTTTTGGATGTAGATTTCAATGACAGAGTTTCGAATTCCTTAAGTGATAATTTGGTTTTGCTCTGTTTTGAATACTCTTTTAATTTGATCTGCTGAGTCTGATAAGTTTCTTTCAGTTCATAGATACATCCATCTGACTAATAAACATATCAATTGTGGTTATCAAACATTAGGTAGTGAAAAAGAGACGATCAAAGAGCTTCAGTGCCTCTGATTCCCAGAAAAGTAGCAGCTCAGCAAAGCCTGAGCCATCTGCTTCAGATTCAGTTTCGTCCTGTGTTTCGAGTGATACCAGTGGTGCAATTTCCAGCAGCAGTACCTGGAATAATGCCGTGAAGCAGCATGGGGGTTATGTGTTCTTTGCTCCAGTTAAAAGAAGGCCAGTTCTGGGTTCTGCACACTTGCGTGGCCGAGCCGATGCCATCTTGAAGATTCTGTCGTCTCAGGGCTGTGCTTCTGAAGTTAAGATCCGCGAGTTGCTTGGTGACAGCCCCAGTACCAGCAAAGCCTTAAGAATGTAACCACTCCTTTGCCTCTCTCACTGAAAGTGCAGGAAAAAGCCTTGTGTTTATGTCTTACCTCCATGATTGTGTGTATATAACTCAATTCTATCCAACTGAACGATCTTCCACACCAAATTTGTGTTGTCCTTCATGCTGCTGTTGCCTTAATCATGAATCTGATTTAAATAATTGGAATTGCTTAATGGCTTTCAGTAGGAAATAACATTAGAGTTCAGTTTAGTCTTGGGGTGGTAGTATTGATGGTTTCAGATATTAGCAGCAGTTGTAGAAGACTCAAATTGCTCTTTTAAACAATAATTTGCAGATTGCTGAACCTAGAGCAAGTGAAGAGGTGTGGAGCTGGAGGTCGTACTGATCCCTATATTTACATGGTAAATTTCTCTACCTTGCTGCTTAGTGCAATTTACTAGGTGTCTCTGGCTGCAAATGAATCCCAAGTATCGCATAGTAATGTAGTTTTGCCATCATTTGCAGATAGCATGAGGGCATGATCCAGTATTTGGTGGATAGCTGTGTAGATACAACAACAAATTCAGTGACTATAACAAGATTGAAGAAGCAATTAGGTTTTTGACAGGACTGGTTAAAGTATCATACATACTAGTAATTATGTGAGCGTGATCTTCAAGTTAATGTGATGCTCCAAGTCGAATGCAGAAAGGATACGCAGACGGCTGACTAATGAAGCTACCATTATTGTCTATAATATAATATATATACTGTGTAAGCACTGAAGGATACTCCCTGATTTTGTAAGTTCCATGAATCCTTGTAGTGTCGAAACTTGTTCACGAGTCTGATCTTTACAGTAACAGATGAAACTACATGTAGTTGTTCTTTTGTATGGCTCAGTAGCTGCCTTGGCACTGATTAGTGCAGGACCTAAAGCTGCAACGTTGATTACTTTATCTACTCTGAACACTTCTTTCCACCCACCAATATAGCATGTAGATAAGTGAGAAGTGAAAGGTTTGATTCTTGTTTCTCAGATGCTGCACATTTGGTACTTTTGGCCCTAAAGTGTGTTCAAGTACTAAGATATTTGAGAGCTGTTAGTTTTAGTTCTAAGTTGTTTCGGTCATTTATGTTTCTTGGAATCATTTTACTTTCTAATCCCACATGAAAAGATATAATTCACTCCCAATTAATGTACGATTGGCCTTATGGATGAGACTCCACATAAGCTTAATAAGATATGACAGTGTTATAAAGATAATTTCTGGAAGATAATTTCTACAACTGCAAAACAACTGAGACAATCTAATGTTCGATAAGCTCATTGACTGTAGTGTTGATTGAAAACTATAGTTAGACAAAAAGATCATATATGCGCTCTGTGCCTGGGCTCCATGTGAAGTTTAAAGGCAATTTGTCTCTCTGCAAAATGGAAATGTGCTCATAATTTCACAAGACCGATGCCTCCTTTGAATGAACCAAAAAGAGGGTGTGATCTCCTAAAGATGAATATATGCTGTAGCAGAACATTGTCTGGCTCAACCAACTCGGCTTTATCTTTACCGTGTTCCGAAGCATGCGAGCTTCCAGAAATTAGCACACTTAAGAACTCTTCTGTGGAGCGCCAACTTTAGTGTATTGATTGAAGAATCCAATCAGATCATTTTTGGTCAGTTGTTCAATGCTGCTAAACCTGTTTCAAGAACACTGCCAATTAAAAAAAAAAAAGAAAGAAAAAAAAGGGAAAAGAGATATAAACAAGTGCAAAATTAACCTTCATACCTCAAGTTCTTTCCTGTCAAATTTGAGGTTTCATCTGATATTTCCTACCAGTAGAAACGTGTTTCTTCTCGCAAATCTTGCGCTTCTCAAGCTTCAAATCAACAAGTGCTCTGCAACACAACCACGTTAAAGTTTGCGCAAAGTGTGCCCCCAAAGCTGAAGAATCTTTAAACCTAGAACATCATGTTGTAACCCAACATTTACACTTCCGCTGATCGCCAAGAACCAACGAGTCTTGTGAGTTTACCTTAAATTCTTGAGGGGTCATTTCATTAAGTTTACTTCCAAAACTATTGAGAAAATGCCTCGACTCTGGAATTTATATGTTTAGGACCCTGCAAAAGGAGATTGTTGAATTTGTTATTGTACTCCTCAGAACACCAAAGTCAGCTCTGAAGTTTAACATTCCACAGGACATCATCTTACTTCACCAACAATATTTTCTGAAACTTCGTCCATCAGAAGTTTAAAAATATGTGGCACATGTCAAATTAGGTATCTTGAGAAATGAAGCCTTGAACAAGGAAAAAGTACACTAAAAGATTAATTTAGCGGGAAATTCATTTCATAACCTTGAATCTAATTGATGTGTAAATAAGGAAAAACTTGATAAGAGTTTTTTTCTTTCAGGAATCCACTTTGTAAATATTATTCCCTATTTCATAAATTAAAAATATCAAAAATAAAAACTTAGATTAGAATATACTCTTAAAAAAAGTTTAATTTAATTAAGTTTTATATTAGGGATTATCATAAAAGTAATACATTTACTTTGTCCCAAGCCCACCAAATTAAAAAATAATATAAAATTTATGTAAAGAATGGACATATTTTTTAGTTTAGTGTAAAAAAATATTTTTTTTTTGAAATTTTGGAATTTTTTTAATTCTTAATTATTTTATGAATGGAAAATGATACACATAATAAGAAAAAAATAGTAACAAAAAATAGTGATTGATGTGGAGTACTCTCCCGTTGAAATTTTTTATTTCCCGTTAAATTACTTTTTTACTATTAATTAATAAATGCACATGTTTAGTGAGTGTGGTGTAAATATCTTTTTATCAGTCACAATCTAAATTCACTATATTTTGTCACTATGACTATCATTGCTCTTTTATGAATATAATTATTTAAATATTCATGTTAATATTTTAATCAATATTATTTTTTTGAAAATAAATATTTTCATTCCGAAATTACCCCTGTTGACTTGAACCCAAATATGGTCAAACTGCTTGAATAGTATCAAAGGACAAAAAAAAATTACAAACAAAAATATAGTGAACCAAAATGTGTATTTGGCCTAATGTAAATAACTATTTTCAAATTTTAGTCTTAAAACAAACACTCATTTAGCTATTTTTTTTTCTCCCTCCAATGCAATTTTTAAGGTTCCATTGCTTGAAGTGATTGTCACGGAGAAACAATAAAATCTCAATTATGGATACATAAGCGCCAAAATTGGAATTTGATCTTTCGAATGTGGAATTTGATTGGATTGGATTAGAACTTGGATGGAGTAACTGACTAATGATTTATGGTATTACCCAAAAAGAAAATAAAAAATGAAACTTATGATTTACTGTGGATTCGAGTTGGGCATATGTAGAAGGATCATCTGTGGTCAAGAATATATATATATATATATATATATATATATATATATACATTGTATTTTTTCTCTATTAGTAATACTTTATCGGTCACAAAACAAAAATTATATTTGTTATAATATTAAAATAATTTATCAAATAGAATCCGTATTTTGAGAATAACTCCTTTTTGTTTTTTTAACCATAGAGGAACTCTTATATACTCCCTCTGTCCTAAAATTATTGTTCAGTTTGAGATTTCATTTTTAGTACAATTAGTGCTAAAAACGAAAACCCAAACTGAATAATGATTATAAGACGAAGGGAGTATATTATTTCGGTGGAGTTGGCGGAGCTTAAAATGCAGTGGGAAAAAGAGACGACACTTCATTGAAAATGCTGTAAAACACTTTTAACCCAAGAAAAAAGAAAGTAAAATGTACTACAGTACATTGAGAATTGGCAGATATGTGAGCAATCAAAACTTCTCCAATTAATGATGAAAATGGGAATTTATAAACAGATTACATTTTTGTGATTGAATTCATAAAATAAAAAATAACTCGTTTTTAATATACAACAATTCCATTAATATGAGGACAAAATTATAAGTTTCAGAAAATAAACCACAAATCTATCGTTTTTCTACCGTAACTATATTAAAAAAAAAAAAGGAACTCCATGAATTCTAACAATAAATCCATTAAAAAAGTTTCTACACAAATTAAGTCGACTTTTCAAACAACACTGAAAATGGAAGTTGAATTACGAGGATTATAAAATTATTAGAATGTCCATCATTAATTTTTAGACAAATCCGTATTCATATTATATATATATATATATATATATTTGTGTTCGTATTCATTGTATTTTTGGTTGACTTAGGACCCTAAAATTTTCTTTCAGGAAGTTAGACAATAGTTTCACCATAATATTAAAAGTTAAAAAAAAAACACCCACAATTTAATTGGTGGATTGGGTAGTAGTAGTAGTACATTTTTATTTAAAAATAAAATAAAATTGTGGGGTTCAATGAAAGAGGTCACAGATTTGACCTAAAACACTAACTTAAACTACCATATACGTGAGAACTCTTGACTACATCTTTGTTTCAACTACATGGATGAGATGTACAAAACAACCACCCCACCCCCCCGCGCCAAAAAAAAATAAAAAAATCTATATGGATGAGTTTAAAACACAACCAAAAAAATCGCTACCCATTTCTCTTGGTTACTAGAAGAGAGAATAATTGTAATTTCACAAATCATTCCATACTCAATAATTTTTTGATATCTCAGATGATTTCTCATCAAATGCCAAGAACATCTTCATTTTACTCTTAATCCTGCAATATACACTTGTAGTACAACCTTTATCAAGCAAACACTTTCAAAATTAAAGGGGGTAAAATCCGATCGAAACCAACTCGACGATGCAAAGAATTAGAATAAATGGTGTGTTATGGCCGTGGAAAGTACAAATGCTATCAATAGAATAATGAAACGTTTTTAATCCATTTGCAAGCAAGAGGCATATTAATTTCCATTATATATCATCTGATTATATTATAAACCAAAGAAACAGCAACATGCTTATATATCTAGCTAGCTCGCTAATGAAAAATAAATAAAAATGAAAGGAAGAAGATACGTACACATGCAGTGGTGAATTTAGTCCCTCAAAGACTGTTTGGAAATCAAGGAAGATGAGAAGAAGAAATGGGAGAAACGTTCAATCTACAAACTTCCTTTCAGGTTCACAAACCTAAACAAAGATGCCTACAAGCCTCAGGGGACTTGTCCGGAATACCCTAAACCCTAAACACTAAATCCTAACTGCGACCCCAACTTGTTACCTATGGAAGAACACAAAGATAGAGTCTTAGATCGTTTCCTTGGAAGAATAGGAGCAAAAATCTATGGAGTACTGCGTGAAGATGTTAAGGATGATCGATGATGGCGCCGCGCGTAGAGATTTAATTGATGGATGCATATGACTCGTTGGATGAGCAGCAATGGGAAGAAAATCCGACAAAATTCGTGGAGATGATGATCAGGGATGGTTGTTTCATGCTGGAATTGTTACGGTTTGGTGATGGTGATGATGAATATGCTGAGAATGATCCCATCTAAAGCCATCATGTGGGAAGCGGAATATGATGCCTTTTATCAAGCTTGACATATGTTGTTGCTTGAAAATCAGTTGTTATCACTATTAATGGTTTTTGAGTTTGCAAGTACTAACAATGCTGTGAATATGTATGCAGTACCCGAGAACTTTCTGCTCCTAGGATTGGAGCTCAAGTAAAAGTGCCAACCAAATTTGTTACGGGAGATTTGGATTTGGTGTATCATATGCCGGGAATGCAAGACTATATCCACAAGGGTGGATTCAAGAGTGATGTACCGTCGTTAGAAGAAGTTGTAGTGATCAAAGATGCAGCTCATTTCATCAACCAAGAAATCCCGAGTGAAATTAGCAAACACATCCTTGACTTCATTCAGAAATTCTCTGCTTCTTGAATGAAACTCAGTTGCAAGTTGTTGTTGCCATTGCCGATTTCACCCCCATTAAACCTGATATCAAATGTAAGATGCCACTATTAGCGTTTCAGTGTGTTATG